TGTGACCATGTTCTTCTGGCCGACGCCGTTGAGGAACCGGACCTGCTCACCGACGCCGCACTCGGCGGAGCAGTTGCTCCACGGCGACCAGTGCTGGGCGTCACCGTACAACTTGGAGCAAATCGGTGGCATGTAGCCTTCAATCTTGGCGATCAAGACCGGGTCCGAGATGCCCACGAGCTCGCTCGGGTTGTACCCTGGCCCAGCGTAGGCGTGGGCCAGGATTACCGTGGCAATGGCAAGCGAGAGGCGCATGTGTTTGCGACGCGACTGTGAAGACGCAAGGCAAATGCAAAGTGAACGGTAGTGGAGTTCGTGTCCGCCCCCACAAGGCGCGCATTTCGTACAAAGATATGCTTGCTTTCAAGATTGTATGCACATCGTTCGACGGGTTATTGTCGAAAAATAGGGGCTTCAAGTAAGGCCGCAATCCGGTCGAGTGGTGGGTCGATCTGTAACCGACGACGCTGAAGAGGCAGCCAGGCAGCTATTCAAGACGCTGAATGATACCAGCAGCACCATAACATTCGAGATATGCCTCAATGAGGCTTTAATGATGTGCATACAATCTTGAAAGCAAGCATATCTTTGTACGAAATGCGCGCCTTGTGGGGGCGGACACGAACTCCACTACCGTTCACTTTGCATTTGCCTTGCGTCTTCACAGTCGCGTCGCAAACACATGCGCCTCTCGCTTGCCATTGCCACGGTAATCCTGACCCACGCCTACGCTGGGCCAGGGTACAACCCGAGCGAGCTCGTGGGCATCTCGGACCCGGTCTTGATCGCCAAGATTGAAGGCTACATGCCACCGATTTGCTCCAAGTTGTACGGTGACGCCCAGCACTGGTCGCCGTGGAGCAACTGCTCCGCCGAGTGCGGCGTCGGTGAGCAGGTCCGGTTCCTCAACGGCGTCGGCCAGAAGAACATGGTCACAAACGGCTGCGAAATCCAGCAGGACAAGCAAATGTGCCACGGCACGTTGTGTCCCCAAGACTGCCTCTACTCGGAGTTCTCCGAGTGGTCGGCGTGCGACGCGACGACGGGCACGCAAGTGCGGTCGCGCACCGAGGTGACGCCGGCGCTCAACGGCGGCAAGGACTGCCCGACGCTGTGGGGGCCGCCTGCGGAGAAGCGCGACTGCGCTGTTCACTGCGACGGCACGTGGTCCGAGTGGACCGAGTGCAGCGCGACGTCGGCGACCCAGACGCGGGCGTTTGCGGTCACGCAGTACCCGCTCAACGGCGGCAAGGCGTGCCCGGCCATGGACTCGCAAGATTGCAACCCGGCGTGCGGCAGCATCGCGTGGGGGCCATTCTCGGCGTGCGACCCGGCCACGGGCACGTACGTCCGGAGCCGCCATGTGCCCATTGACGCCAACTATGTGCGTCTCACGGTCGCGCTGCGCCAGAACCAGTGCGCAACCAAGGACAAGCAGGCGTGCAACATCGACTGCTCGCTCGGTGACTGGAAGGCTACCGGCACGTGCGACGCCAAGACGGGGACCCAGGTGTTTGCCCGTGAAGTGCTCCAGCAGCAAGTCAACTGCGGCAAACCGTGCAACGACGTGGCCCACGATACGCTCTTGACAAAGACGGAGCCGTGCGCCGTCGACTGCCAGGTCAGCGCGTGGTCCGACTGGGTCTGCGACAAGTCGACGGGCATGTCGACCCGGTCGCGCTCCGTCACGCAAGACCCGCTCAACGGCGGCGCGGGCTGCGGCGACCTCCAGGAGACGCGCGACTGTCGCTGCACCGACGACAACTGCCCCGAGCCGTGCGAGACGGGTGCGTGGGACGACGGCGAGTGCTCGGCCCAGTCGTGCATGCAGGTCAGCACCACCACGATGCTGTACCCGGACCGCGACGCGGGCAAGGTCTGCAACCTCTACAAAACGTCGCCGTGCACGCTCGATGCGGTCATGGGTCCGTGGAGCGACTGGGGTGCTTGCGACGACAAGGCGCACCAGACGCGCACCCGCGACATTGTGAGCCCTGCGTGCAACGGCGGCAAGGTCGCGGGCGCGACGTCCCAGACGCGCAGCTGCCAAGCGATCTGCGACGAGGCGCACAACCCGTGGAACTCGTGGGGCAAGTGCGACCAGACGACGGCGACGCAAGTGCGCACGCGTGCGATCGTGAACCCGCCGACGCCCGACCAGCAGCCGTGCTCGACGTCGCAGACGCAGAGCTGCGCCGTCAACTGCGAGATGGACAACTGGGGTGAATGGAGCAAGTGCGACGAGTGCACCGGTGTCCAGACCCGCACCCGCAAGGTCCTCATCCCCGAGCAGAACGGCGGCAACCAGTGCCCGGCGACCACCGACAGCCAGACGTGCGCCGTGACGTGTTTGGCGAGCGAGTGGAGCCCGTGGGGTGCGCCGGACGACACGTGCACGTGCAAGCGTACCCGCACGGAGATTGCGCCGGCCATCAACGGCGGTACGTGCCTTCTCGAGCAGGCCGACGCGACGTGCACGCAAAACTGCCAAGTCAGCGACTGGAGCGTCCCCGGCGAGTGCTTCAAGAGCGGTCCCAACGCCGGCCAGCAGCTCTCGACGCGGTCGGTGACCAAGCAGCAGTGCAACGGCGGCGCGGCGTGCCCCAGCGACCTCGAACAGTACACGCCCTGCAACGTCGACTGCGTCCTCAGCGACTGGTCGGACTGGGGTGTCTGCGACTTGAAGACGCAGCAGCAGACGCGCACGCGCACGGTGCTGCAGTCGGCCTACAACAACGGCGCCAAGTGTGACGTGACGGTCGACTTCCGGGCCTGCGGCTCGTGTGCCGACATTGTCTCGGCCTTTACGTACTCGAACTGCGACGCGACGACGGGGACTCGCACCGGCTCGGCCACGTACCTCTACACTCCCCAGAACGGCCTCACGTGCAACCTCGCCGTGATCGAGCAGTGTACCGTCCACTGCGTCGTCTCCGAGTGGAACCAAGGCCAGTGCGCCGTGCGCGGCGAGCTCGCGGGTCAGCAGAAATGGACCCGCTCCGTCGTCACGGCGGCGCTCAACGGCGGTCATCCGTGCGGCGACCTCACCAAGTACGAGCCATGTGTCGTCGACTGCATGCCGGGCGACACGTGGGGCGCGTGGTCCGACTGCAACGCGCGGGGCTTCTCGCGCCGCACCATCAACGTCGACTACCCGGCGCAGAACGGCGGTCGCAACGACGAGTGCTTGGTCGTAGAGGAAAAGACGTGCGCGGTCGACTGTGTCATCGACCTTGCCACGGGCGACGTCACGCAGCCGTCGCTCAACGGCGGCTTGACGTGCTACGAGGTCGCGCAGGAGTTGGGTCTTCCGGGCAGCTACCCGAACGAATCGGGCACGAGCAGCGTCTCGTTCCTGACGACGCTCGCCAGCAACAAGTCGTATGCGCTCGCGGCCGCGGCCACGGGTGGCGTCGGCGTCATGTTCCTCGTCGGCTTCTTTACGACGCGCCAGCGCAACGGGTACCGCTCCATCTCGCGCGTCGCCTTGTAAGAGGTACCAGTACAGTACTGCATGTTGCCAGGGACGCCGTGTCGCCCGCACTGCGTATAAAGAAGAACGTGTGTTTGTATGCCTCGATCTCGCGACAGTTTGGGTGTTGCAACAGCGGGCGGGCGCAGCATAAGATAGCGCATGTGAGAATCGCGCCATGTCCAAGGGTTCACTGTCGTCGTTGGTGGTATCCCGGTGGGGACAAGGGGTAGGGCTGTCGGGGTGGTTACGCCATTGGACACTGCCCTGGGCAGCTAAGATTGTATTAGATCTACTCGTGTCGGCCCAAATGAACGTCCAAGGTGCGCGGTGGAGACTGGCTCAACATCGACGTACCATGTGCTTTGCTCATGATATCGCTGCGAATTGTCCGCTGTACAAGGTTGCATGTGTATTTTCAAATTTACAAATCGTGGTAGATCGGCGGCGGGTCCTTGAAGAAGCTGGTGCTGGCGCCCGTCTCGCCCGGTAGCGACACCTTGCGCATCATTTCCGCCTTGCGTTTCTTCGCCTCCAAATGCGCCGTCATGCTCGACATTTGCATCGTGTTCTTCTTGCGCGTCTGGAGCTCCTGCTCTTTGTGGTGCTTGACGCTCGCAAAAAGATGTCTTCTTCGGTCGCCTCGTCCGCCTCGCGCCGCGCAAAGATCGCGCGCTGCGTGTGCCGCACGTTCTGCACAATCGCATATGCCTCGTGGAGGTGGCGCTCGATGAGGAGCGCGTCGGCGTAAATGGGCCGGATGCCATGCGCGACCAGCGCCAACTTGACGTCGAGCCAGACCATGCCGAGGCGGAACACTGGAAACTCCTTGGCGACTGCGAGCGTGATTTGCTCCTACCAACGATCCGGTCCGTGGGCATGACGCGGTCGTTCTCACCTCGTACGAAAGCTCGCCGTCGGCCATGCAGGAAAAGCCAACGCTGGCGAGCACGGCGTAGATCTTGGCGCGCAAGTCGATCTTCTCCGTTGCCGTCGCGAGCCCTACGACGATGCGTCGTACCGTATCGTCGCACGATACGACGACGTACGTCGATTCGGGTCGGTGTTGCGGAAGCCCTTGGCGTGTGTGATGGCTTGTTTGAGCCGCAGAAAGGCCACGGGTGGCGGCGACACGGCGCGCGTCTCGGGGGCTACCCATCATGCCTTAAATCAGAACTAGCGTTATTCGGACACGGTGTCTACAGGCCGCCATGATCGTCTGGTCGTCCAAGCCGTGCGCGAGCAGTGGGCGGTGAACGTTCGAGATGACGCCGGTCGGCGGGCGTGCGACGCTTAGCCGCTTCTCTTCGTCGGCGTACATGAGCAGAAGCATTTGCGACGCGCTAATGTGCTTCTTGCTCTTCCACGCGTGGTAGTACGCAGACGCTTTCGGGTTGACGCACAGCTCGGCGAGCGCGCCAAGTACTTGGCCAAACATGATGCGCGGCGCGCTACGGAGCGATATGCAGTCGCAATGATAAGGCGAAGTGGCTCGTACAGCTCCAACAAGTCGAGCAAGTTGTCGACGCCTTCCGACTGGATAAACGCAATTTCGTTGTCCGGGTTGCCGATGATACTCGACCAGACACAGCCGACGATCGCTACAATAAGGTTGTCTTGGCGGACTGCGTCGGACGGGTTGAAGCGCATGGACTGCAGGAGGACGTTGATGCCGTTCGCGCGGCGGAACCGCGCTTGGTTGTCCTCATGGTGCGCGCAGAGCTGGCTGCAGATGGTGACTAGACTCCGTTATATCAGACTATGGATCTGTCACGCGGCTTTGGTAGTTGTCGTACTGGCCGTGCGCCGAATCGAGCACGGGTGCGACGTGTTGCAGAAGAGCGCAAGCATGGCTTCGACGCCCGAGATGTCGCCAATGTCCTGCTGCAGCGTCGGCGTCGTTACCACTTGCATGAGAATCAAGAGCGCAACTGCACACGCCTCCGGGTCGGTCGCCGCCTAGTGCAAAGCCCCTTACATGTTGCAAGCATGTGGACCGCTTCTCATACGGTGACGAATTCGAGGATCACGACGTGGCCGTTCACCGCGACGAAGCGCTCGGGCACCAAGGCCGTGAGGTTCGAGAGCACGTTGAGTGCGAGTACTTGGAGCGTCCGGCGCTGTGACGGCGTCCACTGCGCCGCGACCGGCGTACGCGCGTCGTCGGGCCGCATGGCGACGTACATCAAAAGCACGTCGACTAGCGCCGAGTCGGCGACGATCGGTACCATGGCCTCGTGCCCCGTGCAAATGTCCGAGAGGAGGATCCACAGAATGTGCTTGAGCTCAAAGTCTTCGTCGCTCGCGCTCGCAAAATTGGTGGCTTTGGCCAGACCCGACAACTGCCCGGTTTCACACGCCGTCGCATACTGGAGCAGCGTGTGCAGCCACTGCGAGGATTCGAAACAAGGAATGTTGCGCCGCTTGGACGCGAGGATGTCGGCGATCATGAGGCACATGTTGCTAGCACCGAAAAAATCAGCACAAAACTTACTCTTGCAACCACGCTTTGTGTACCGGAGTTCCTTGTCTTGCTTGCGGTGCCCTTGCAGTAGCAGCTGCGTAAAAAGCTTGTGGAGCACGTCAAACGTACGAGGCGAGCCCATGACGTGGATCGCATTCGTCGTGCGGAAGGCGTGGATCAGGACGCTGCGCGACACGCAGCGCTGGATGCTGCAAGTGGCCGACGCACACGTCTCGAGGACGTTCCATAGGATCTCCATGCACAGCGGGAGGAGCTCGTCGCGGAGATCGTGGATGCTGTCGAGGATCTCGATGATGTACGCCAGCGTCCCGGCCTGCGTGAGCGCCTGGGCGTTCGGGCCCCAGCTCGACACTTCTTGGATCAAGTCGACGAGCGGAAAGAGCAGCAGATCCATGCGGCCGCTCGACGGATCGTCGCCTTCGTTTTCCTAAGTATCAATGTATCGATGACATCTATCAAGCTTCTATCGAAAGATGGCCGTACGAGCTGGTCGTGGACGAGCGTCTCGAGCGCCGACGCAAGCGCGGGCACGATGCCACACTTTTCCATGAGCTGCTGCGAGTAGTCGCGGGGCAGTGGCCGCTGGTCGTCGAGGTTTTCGTCGACGTTGGAGCTGCTGCGCACCGAGTTGCTCAAGCCTACAGCGCGATGCTTATTTTCATTTTCATTTGAGCGGGTGCGTACAGTTGCCGGTCGCAATGTTGAGCAAGGTCTCGGCGGCCGCGACCTGGATCTGCGCTTCAAACGACGTCAAGAACCGGCCGAGAAGACGCGTCATGCTATGCAGCAGCTGCGGATTCGTAAACTCTTCGTTCGACTTGGTGCGCAGATAGGGCTACAGGCGCCGCCTTGTCAAAATGCTGGCCGAGCGTATGGAGGATGTACCTTGCTGCAGTGGACCGTCCACGCGCACACGGGCGCGATGAGCTCATCGACACCGGCTTCAATCTTTGCGTACGCCGCTTCGAGGATCTGAGCGACGACCGGGAGGTCCGCGAGCCGAAACCTAATGCAATAATTTCTTAGTTGCATTGCAGCAATCGATCGTGCGTGCACCCTAGTGGGTGGTTGAGCGTCGTGCTCTCGAGAAGTGCAACGTGGCGCGAGTGCAGGTCCGACGTCTGCTTCTCGGTCAGCGTCTCGAGGACCTTGGCAAAGTCGGCGCCCGCCTTGGCCTTCATTTCGGTTTCAATGGACCGGTTACACGAGAGGTTAAAAACACCCAACCACGGCCCTGCACAAGCAACGTTCGCTGTGCAATTCGATGGACCTCCGCGAGCATCATCCATGGATGGCTGACGTGCCACAAGCATAACTCTTGCAGAGAAGACGACGTAGTATGCGATGCGTGCTCCATGCAACCTCCAACAACGTGTGTGGGCTCGACACCTCTCCATCAATTCGCTGCGGTCTGCGGGAAGGGACGTGGTACGATAACCGCCGATGCAGTGTCGTGCCTTGCGTCAAGTCACAGCGCCACGACGAGGTCGTCGTGGGCCGTGGACCACGTGTGCGATCTTGTGGCGCCGTTGACGGCAAGGGCAAGTTGCGTGCGAGTAGCCGTCCGTTTCAACACGCATGTTTTTGTGCGGAACCTCCAGAACCTAATGGGCCGGCCAACGGCCGCGAATCAATTCCCCATACAATGATCAAGTCTAGCGTGTCTATTTAAAAACCTGGCGCTCGGCGGGCTTCGGCCGCGGCCGCCGACGTGCATACAAAGCGCAAGTGAAATGCAAACAACGCGTGTGATTGGCCAAAATGTATTTCGAGTCGGCAGGTGGCGGGTGGCCGCCCTTCGATGGCAAACCAGTCATTTCAGTCAATTCCCCTGAGCATCATGAGCTTGAGTGTCCTTCGTTCGACCGCGTCGCGTCGTGCGCTCTCGTCGGCGCGCCACGCGTCCAGCCTCGCGGAAGAGCTCCCGTACCTGCCCGCGCTCCATGCGTCGCCCCTCGCCAGCGAGATCGCGGTCGGTGCCACCGGCAAGGGCCTCGGCGTTGCCTCGGCGTCGCCGGCGCACTGCACGGTCGCGACGCTTGGCGTGACGTTCAACACGGGCGCGCGCTTCGAGTCGGACAAGAACGCCGGTATCTCGCTCCTCGCGAGCAAGATGGCGTTCCGCTCGACGGACGCTCGCTCGGACCTCGCGTTGTTCCGCGACATTGAGGCCATTGGCGGTAGCATCTCGAGCTCGGTCGGCCGTGACTACGTCAACCTGTCGATCTCGGTGACGCCCGAGCACATTGACGAGGCCGCCGCGATCCTCGCGGAATCCGTCTTGGCGGCGCGCTGCGCCGAGTGGGATGTCTCGACGCAGAAGGCGAAGGCTGAAGTCGACATTGAGCTCCTCCGCTCGAACGCCGCCGACCTCTTGTCGGAGGGCATCCACGCCGCCGCGTTCTACGACAACCGCACGTTGGGCCGCACCGTCTTCTCGAAGAACGTCTCGGCGCTCAAGGCCAAGGACGTCCGCGCCTTTTACGACGCCAACGTGAACGCTGCCAACATGGTCCTTGTCGGCCGTGGCATCAACCAGTCGGCGTTGAACGACATTGCCAACACGCACTTTTCGGGTGTCGTCGCTGGGGACCGCACGAAGCCCGCCGCCGCCCACTACGTCGGCGGTGAGCACCGCGTCGCCGCTGCGTCGCCCGTCTCGTACGTCGCCCTCGGTTTCTCGGCCGGTGCCCTCAACGCGCAGGAGAAGAGCGCTGCCCACGTCTTGGAGCACGTCCTCAAGAGCCGCATTGCCGGTGCCTCGTCGGCGTTCCGCGCCGTCTACGCCGATGCGTCGTTGCTCGGCTTGAGCGGTGTCGCCCGCCCGGACGACGCGTCGGCCCTCGTTGCTTCGTTCCTGAAGGAGTTCCAGGCGGTTGCCTCGAGCCCGCTCTCGGCCGCCGAGTTGGAAGCTGCCAAGAAGTCGTCGGGTCTCTGCTACAGCAGCTTTGTCGACACGAAGAACGGCGCGTTGACGCAGTTGGCGCGCTCGGCCTTTGCCCAGTCGGCCATCACGGAAGCCTCGACGCACGCTGCGTTGCACGCCGTCTCGGTCAAGGATGTCCAGACGTTGGCCGAAAAGTTGGTCGCCTCGAAGCCGTCGTTGGCGTCGGTCGGTGACCTCACGAACGTGCCCCGTTATGATGACATTTTGAAGAAGCTTTAAGCAAGCATAGAAATATTGTGTGGAGAGACCGACGTGTGATGTGCCACGTCGTTTAGAGATGTCTACCTTGCAAAATGTTCTCTACCTCCATCGCAATTGCAGCGCCTGCTCGACCTCAAGTGGCGACGACGTCAGGCAGCAGCGCAGGCAGTCCTAGTCAAGCCATACAAATCTCCGATCGCATCGCGATTCCCACCGGCGATCTGCGCAGCTGTCAGCGCCGTCGGGAAACGGATCTCAAAGCGCACCAGCAAGTCGCCACGCCTAGGATAACAGAGCGCAAGGGCTCGTATATACCGGTTGTCGGGTTGGTCGTACCGTCGCGGGTCGTGGCGCAGCGGCATGCCTTGGCCCGGCACGCGCAAGACCGCGTCTACGCACATCATCCTTCGTGACACGTCATGCCGAGCGACAGACTATTGGTACGTGGATGCAGGACGTCGTGGGTTGTGATGGGCAGGAGGTCGCCGCTGAGGTGCTCCATGGACGTCGTGACGCCTGTCAGCGCCTGGACTTTCACCGTCACGCGAGTATTCAAGTTGATACTACAAGGTGCAACCTCGAGAAGTGAAATGACCATGATCGTCTCCAGGTCGTCGCCACGCCGCACGAACGACGTCGGCGATGCCGAGGGCACCTAGAGTCGACAGAATATTCGCTCGAGGCGGCGCAAGCCGTCGTCCTACCAGTCGCACGAGGACGTCACCCGTCGCCACGTGGCGCTGGGCGTCGCCGTCGCCCGCAAACAGAATCTCGTCGCCGTGCATCATGCCGGGTGCGATCGGAACAGCAATCGACGCCGATGCCACGTGGTGCCCGTGGCCGTGGCAGGCGTGGCAGACGCGGTTCGGAAGGTGGCCCGCCCCGCTGCAGCGATCGCAGCCGTGCCGGACGCGGTGGACGCGGTGGCCAAACCGTTGCTCGTGCACGACCATGCCGGCGCCGCCGCACATGGGGCACTATGCATCATTATTGCATTGAATCGTCGTCGTCTGATGTGCAGCGGGGTGTCACCTTTTTTAGGCCCGCGGCCTGGTCGTACCCGTGGCCATCGCAGTCTGCGCACACGACTTGCTTCTCAAAGTACACCTAGTATCCATCGTTACCATGCCGTCGAGAGACGGTCGTCATATTGTACCGTTTGCACGCCGCCATGGAAGAGCGTCGCGAGATCCACAGCGACATCGAGGCGCGTCGGGCGCATCTGCCGATCTAAGCATGCACGTTCGCTGCCATAGCGCGAGAGATGTATATATGTGTACCTGGCTGCACGAACGAGGCCATCGACGTCACTTGGCTGTACAGCTGCAGCATGATGAGGAGGAAGCAGACCGCGCCGCCGACGACGACGCAGTGCACCCAGGACAAGCCCGGCTCGACCGTCGCCCGGCGGTGCTCGCGCAAAGCGGTAGCCCACGCAACCGCTTCTTCGCTGCTCGTCTCGGCGGGAAGGCCCGACGCAGAACTCGGCGCTCGTACGACAAAGCTCCGGCGGCGCGTCGGCGAAGGTTCCATGGCCACCGCCCGTCCCCAATGAAGATGTAGAATGATGGTCAAAATGATGGTCTTTCTATGGGATTTACAGCGTGTTGGGTTTCGTGGCCGTCGGCGGCGTCGCCACCTTGCGCAGGCGGCGCGGCTTGCGCACCTTGGGTGGGTACACCACCTTGGGCAGCTCGTATGCGTCCTTGTCCTTGGGCCATTGGCCGCCCCAGTGCGACTTGCGCGCGGCGCGGTACGCTTCCCGGACCGCGCGGCCCTTGGTCACGGCGCGGCGCTCCAGCGAGCCCTACGGTATGCATGAGAGCCTGCCTCTATAGAGCCCCTCAAGCGTACGTTGGGATGGCACAGGTCGATTGTCACTTGGCGCGTGCTCGTCAACGGGCCGCTAATGACACGGATACGATCTCGTCGTCGCACGCATATGACGTACCGCGTCAAGCGAGCGTGCGTCTCTTCGTCGTTGGCCGCCGAGCTGTAGCCCGCCTTCTTTTCCAGCGTGACGTACGAAAACTTCATGCTGTGGTAGCCCGTCCAGCGCTGCGGCGTCGGGAGGCGCGGCTGGGACACCTGCGGCGTCCGTTGTACAAAATGACACCACTCGCCTTCCTTCATCGGGCACTGGACGAGAGAAAAGACATGTCACTGTGACCGATGGATCGTCGACGACGCGTACCTCTTTGGCGTGCGGGCACGGGCCGAGGATGCGGCCGCCTTCAACGTGCGGCACCGCGTCGTCGGACGCAATCACCTCTTCTTGGTTGGTCGTGAGCGAGTCGAGCACAAACTGGCGCGCCGAGCGCACTTGGAGCGAGCCCCACGAGTTGCCTACCGTCGTTGAGCATGCATGCTGGTAGCATCGTTGTACCTCGGTCGACAATGACGAGCCGGCCGCCGTCGGCGAGGAGACTCCACAAGGTCGAGACGATCGCAATGCGCTCGACGTCGTTGGTGATGTCGCTGAGCACAAAGCTCAGCGTAATGAGGTCGTACGTCTTGCCCTTCTCGATCTCGCGCTTCATCTCGCCGAGGCTCTTGCGGAACGAGAGACCGCGGAAGCCTTCCATCGTGACCTGCGCCGCATCCAGCATGCTCTGGCTCGGCTCAATGATGCGATACTCGTTGATCGAGTCGTCGTAAAACTGCTTGGCGACCCATGCCGCCGTGCCCGGCCCGCCGCCAAAGTCCAAGAGGCTCTTGGGCGCAAACGGTGCATTCTTCGCCTTGTTGTCGTCGTCGTCGTCGCGGAAGCTCACGGCCGGCTTGGCCATCTGCCGGAAGACGTGGTGCACGGACGAGTAGACGCCGTCCATCTCGTGGGCCATGTACGCGAGCGTCTCTTGCGGGCCGTAGGAAAAAGCTGGGATCTTGGGCTTCTTGGACATTTCCCAGCCGACTTGCTCGTTGTGGGCGTCGCGCGGGAACCGCTTGGCCTGCTTCCCGAGCGTGATGGTTTCCTTGAGCTTCTCAAGTTGCACATGCGTGCGCTCTTTGAGTAGCGACGAGACGCGCATGCGAAGGAGCTCGGGCAGAAAGTGCGTCATATTGAGCTGCACGTTGGCGAGCGCCGACGTCTTGGCGCCGATCTCTTCGGCGCGGCTAAGGACGCTCAGCGTCTCCTTGCCCGTCACCAGCGCCTCCTTCGCCGCGCTCCAGAAGGCCCGGCGCGGCAGCAGCATCGTCGTCGTCGACCGGCGCAGCATCTTCGCGCTGCTGATCTTTGAGTTGCCCTTGATGGCACCTCGAAGCATCCGACTCAATTCATTGGACAAGAGCTCGGTGAGTATTATTATTGTGATTTCGATACGATGTACTATATTTTTGTATTGTATTCATGGTTTTCGCATTGTATGATTGGCGGTGTATTTTATTGCATCACACTATGTACGATTTTTTAATAGTGTAGCTAAGTAATTGATATAGTGTATGAAGCACGCACCTTCGGCCTGAGTCCCCGGGAGCTCGCAGAATGCAGACAGTCGGACGAACGCTCTCTCTACCGACTCGTCGTCCCGAAGCTTGCACCGCCAACGGTCGTGGCTGACTAAAAGAAGTGAACAGAACTTCCCGCTCTCTCGTGCGAATACTTCCCATAGAAACCACACGCCGGACCATGATCATGGATCGCAACGTGTAGCAATGCAACCATGGTGCTATCCTTGGCAGCTTCCTGCACCTGCAGGCAACCATAGCCGAGTCTCGTGGCATGAGCTGCACGCATCCTTCTTCCCGCCAAGCGCCTTGCTGGTTGATACTTTTCTTGTTTTGTTGTGATTACATTCTACTGTGCTGGCACGATGCCATACTAAATTATCCCACATCGCCCTTCGATCGGGTGAGGTCTCTCAGTCGTACGAGATGCCAATGCCGTAGTTCTTCATGCGGTCGTGGTGCCAGCCCTTGAGGTTCATGTGCAAGTGCTCGCGGAGGCCCATCTTGGTCCGCCCCGCGTTCTCGCGCGCCGTGTCGAAGAACGACGCGATCATTTGAAGAAAGAGGCAGTCGTTGGACCACGCGGCGGCGTCGACCGTGCGGAGGCCGCGCATGAGGTCGTCCAAGAAGGCGCTGACGTTGCTAAGACGCGATGGCAGCGTGCCCGCCAAGTGCAAGCCAAAGAGGCTAAACGACGACAGCGGGTGGTTCATCAAGTGACTTGTCGCGAGGCTCGCAAACGTGCAGTGGTCGCCGCGGCACGTGCAGAGCCCGTTGGTTTTGAGCACGCGGAGCAGATTGCGCCGAAACTCGCGCAGCTCCGCGTACGTTTTCGCAGTGTAATGCCGGCGCACGTGGCCGTCGGGCCCGACCGCGACGCCCAGCACATACTGGATCGTGCGCGCGCCGGTGTGGTGCGAGAACGTCACGGCGAGCGCGTGGAGCTCGGTCGCGTCAAAGGGCCGCGCGGGCCCAAAGCGCGTGAGGCTGGCGCCGAGCCCGCCGGTCTCGAGCAGCGTCGTCGTCGTTGGCATGCTGGCAAAATGCCGATTGAAGCCGGCACCTCAAGGCGTGACAAGCGGCCTGGCTGTCCATACAAACCGCAAGTGCAACGCGCGCGGCGTGTCCCGTACCCGGCTGGTCCGATCGCATTTGATGGGAGCTTTGTATTGGAAGCCGGCGCATTACGCACGGCCCCTTTTTGTGGACAAGTCGCAAGCTGCTGTTTCGGTGCTGCGAATCAAATACATTTTAGTTAATGTTAAAAATGGATTAGATAACATGCTGGCAACGACGCCACGCACACCGATACGACGACGAACTCTCTCGCTTCGTTGGCATGTTTCTTCAACACAACTTTGCGCACGTGAGCAAGGTTTCTCGGCGGCTTCGACGCAGTCCGAGACATCGCGACACTCGACTCGTCGTGGGCGAGTACGTCGATGACACTCGGTCAAGGGCAAGGCGAAGCGATTGATGGGGAAGCGCCCGACGCAGTCGGCATTGCAGTCGCTCCAGCGCCTCAAGAGCATCAATCGGGAAGCCGTTGTTGCTCTTTGGAAAGGCGCCGTCGACGATCGACGGTGTGCGCTCATGGTCGGCGACGACGAGTGGGTCGAGTGTCTATGTCACGAGCAAGGACATCCTTCGACGCTCGTCCACGTCGATGGCCGACGACTGGAAGCGGGTGATTTTGAGACCGGGAAGCTCGGCATCCTCTTCAAAGGCGTCGACCGGTCGCAAATCACGGTCGACAGCATCGAACCGCGAAGCCGCCGGGGTTCGTGAGCATGGCGCCGTCCTCGAGACCATCGACGGCGCCAATATCCGCGGGCTCCGCGTCTACGCCGTCTTGGAGATGCTCCAGCGCGCGCCGCGGCCCATGACGCTGCAGTTTAGCTCACCACCGATCCGGCTCTTGGATGTTCTCGACGCGGTACCGCCCCACGCACCCTTGCTACGCCGCAACGGCCCGTGCTCGCTCTCGATCGTTTGGGATCACGTGCCGGGCGCAACCCGATACCAGCTGCAGTACGCACTCCAGTCGGAGCACCGCTTCCATGCGTGGTCAAGAGCCAATCAGGCAGCGTCGTCAACCACAACAGTGACGTGAGTAGCACTGTTCTGGGTCTCGAGCCGGGCGAGAAGTACCTCTTACGTGTGCGCTGCGGCACGCCGACGACCATCTGGGGCACGTACAGCGAGCCAAGCGTGACGATGACGACGATCGAGACAGCGTCGCCGAGCCACGGCACCTCGAGCCACAACAACGTGGTCGTCGTCTTCGTCGCCCGGACGTGGTCGAGTCGGGTCTCTTTTACTGCCGCGTTCTCCTTGACCTTCGGGTCTGTCCTGCGATGCGTCGACCGAGGCGGTGGCGCTGGAGAAAGGGTCAAGTGCGACGAGACGATTCTGCGCGGCTCGCACGTGGTTGTGCGACTCCAAGACACGGACCTCTGGGCGTTCGAGACGACCCGGTCCTCGCGATGGACAAGGAGCCGCCAGTGCGCCATAGCTGACAAGCACATGGCGACGGCGCCGTCGGATCTGCAAGCGACAATGGTCGTCGTGTCGTGGGATGCGCAGTTCTCGTGTGTGCGCACCGAGCTCACACCGGCGATAGTATATGCCGTGCGACTCCGAGCGGGGTACGAGACGGGGTACGGGGTACGGCCTGTACACAGCGGCGTCGGACAGGTGATGCCCCGCCCGAAGTCGTCTCACCCGACGACCTCAACAAGAAGAAACCTGCCAAGCTCTTCATGATGAACGGGTGGATGGAGAAGGCGTCCAGCGCTTGACCAAGATCAACAGCAGTGACCAGCTCCCGGACGAGAACGATGGCCGCCCGGTCGGGCACCGCTCGTCATCAACGTCGACGAGATAATAAAAGATAAATTTCAGTGATTTCCCGCCAAAAAAACTGGCTGAAGATGCCAGCGCCGTCGCGTGCGAGCTCGTAGATCGCGTAGAAAGTGGAAGATTGTACGTAGTCCATAGGTACATAATTGTTTAGGCGCTGGTCTCCGAACGTCGACTCCAAGTGTACGACATGGGTGCTACGCCACGGGGTGATCAGTGGGGGGTGATGGTCCACACTTGCGTTGGCAAGTTGGTGCACGGCTGCGCCAAGACCGAGTCGCCGTTGAATGTCCATTGGGGTGGTGTTGGTATGCATCCTGGGCAGCGAGTCAAGCACAAATGATCTTCGTCGATCAGGGTGAAGTGCGAAGCGTCAATGGTCGTGTACGTCCACACCGAGGCGGGGGTTCTGTCCAAGCTGATCACTTTGCCAGAGGGCAGCGGCGCGCACGCCTTGCACATTTGCAGATACATGCCGGTGTCTCCGAAGGCGAAGGTAATGCCTCCCGGCACGGTGTTGATGGTGAAGGGCGTTGCGAGACCCGGAATCGCCCATGCCGTACAGAACGCACCCGGTACAATGTTCTGATAACCGTGCAGTCTGGCGCCGTTGTCCGCCGTAATGTTGACTCTGGCGCCATCCACAGTAAGAATCAGCGGTGGCGCTGGTGTCGGGGCTGGTGTCGGCGCTGGAGTCGAAGTTGGCGGCGATGTTGGCACCGGGGTCAAGGTTGGCGTACTACCACAAAGGTCATGACCGCAGACAGCGAGAGCGGCAGCGAGGAGCCAAAAAGCCGTTCGACGCATTGCTGCGGTGGCTATCGGTGGTCCGATGAAAAACCCGAAATGAGCAGTTGGATCGTGCAAGTACTGTACTCTGACCAGTGTTCGAGCGTTGTTGGCGCAAAGGAGCTGCGCGAAAGTGGCGCAAAGGTGCAGTTGAGGCTGCAACAACTCCCATCCCACTCGGAACTCCTCCATTATGAGCTCCAAACTGAGCTTATTGGCAGTGAGACTGGCGATAATAGAAGTACTACAACCCCGTGCGTCGTGGCAAAATGCCAGTCGATTGGGATTGTAGGCGTGCCGAAAATAAAGAGAGGAAGCCTTGAGGACGGGTAAGTCCGCGGACTTGGGTCCGCGAGAAAACATATGGTGATATTGGCCCAAGGCCCGTGTTATCCTGGACGATTCCCGTCCCTCGAACTTTGGTGGGTCAGAGAACTTGACGTTTCGAGAATGGCGGGAGGCCCTTCCCGCCATATCCCTCCCGGGGAGGGTCCGTAAGAGCTGAGCGTCCGGCAACCGGTACGACCCCGAGAAACTACCTCGAATCCAATCATTCTGCTTTTGACTTGCTACCAACCTCTCTTCGGTGCTACCCATTGAGCCTTTGCCCAGCACCGACGCCGAGACCTCGACCACAACAAGGAGAAGGTCTGCGCCGTGTAGACTGCAAGTGTGCTTACCGCCGGCCACGCCGCCACTCAAGAATCAAGCATCGAGAGTTCCGAGTTAGCCAAGTTCAACCTCTACCAGCTACTTGCCCATATCATGTCGATCGTCACGCACCACGAGCTCGAGTCCGACGCCGAGATCGAACGCTACATCTGTAAAGACGTTCGCTGGAGCGCCTACGTCTCGCAGAAGCTGGCGTCGGGCGCGGCGAGAATGGACGAATGCCACTGCGTTACGTGTACCGATCGACGTTCATCGCGCTCACGACGTTGCTGAGTGACGTCCGCAGTGGCTGCACGTCCGACGTTGAAGACGGTGATGCGGGCGGCACGGCGGTCTTGCATGAGACAGCGATCGTTGGTGGTGCGGTTGATGCTGGCGCGGCCGATGCAGAGTCCACACCTCGGGTAAATGCACCCGTGAGACGTCACGCAGCGGCGCCCTTGACGTTTCCTGCGCCTGCGGTCGCTGCAATCGTTTGTCGATCCGGCGCAGGGAAGCTCTAGATTGCATGCAAGGTCTGGGCCGCACTTCTCCTCGCGAGCTTTGCCTCGGTCGACGTCTTTGGCTTTGCGTCCACACCCGCAACGACGAATGCGTACATCGCCCTGTCCCAGTGCCGATGGACCCAGTCGGAGACGGTCGTACATCGCAACCGCGACAACGACGTGCTAGTAATGCGCAGTAGTACACTGTAGCCACATATGGTGCTATAGGCCAAGAAGCGCGGGACGACAGGCACAGCGCGTCGCACGGCTATTATATAATAGGTGCGTGTAGGCAGAGCCGTTGGTCGAGATGTTTAGCTCGTGGAGCAATGTCGACTGAAGACACGGTTACATTCATCGAGTATGGCTCATACAATCGTGACGTCAGTTCTCGCGGTGGAGGTCGACTCGCGCTGCTTGGCTGCGCGAGCGTGCTTTCGGCAGTAGCCGTTGCGTTGACTCGTCATTTCGCAGCTTGTCTCGCTGCACTTGATCGCGCTGCCATGCCTCGCGCACAAGCCTGCGCGACGGTCTTGTCGGTTGCAGCCGGGTACAAAGCACCGCGTGCCGCCGCCATGGCGCCGGCATAGCCCATTGCCTTGGCTGCTGCGGTGGCAGCCACTCTCGCGGCACCGATCGCCTCCGCCGTGCCTCTTGCAGAGGCCGCGCGACTGCGCTGCTTTCTCGCACGTCTCGATGGTACAGCGCCGGCCGCCGCCGTGGGTAATGCAGTGGCCACCGCCTTGGTCGCTGAGCCCGCACCCGGGCGTGCTGCAGCGGCGTCCGCCGCCATGACCCTTGCAGAGACCCTTGGACCGCACAGCGCGAGCGCAGCCGGTCACGGTGCAGTAGCGTCCGCTGCCAATTATTGCAGGCGGTATCAAATGCGGGCTTGGTACGGCCGGTGTAGCACCCACTTGCACGGGTTGCAGTGCCAGCGTCGGAGGGCTCATTGTCCAAGCGGGCTGCAAGCATAGCGGTGGTACGTCGTACTCAAAGTGGACGGAGCCCGCATACCAGCCGCAGTGCATGCACACCACCGGTCGCCACACGTCGAGGCCCGTCTCGTGGCTGCAAACCGAGCAGGTCGTCACGCCACCATGCGTCATGACGCCACCAAACGGCAATCCATCAAAGTGCCACGTTGGCAGCTCGTAGAGCGGCAGCGGCTCCATGCGCGTCACGTCAACGGCCATGAGACCCAGCGTCTTGGGTACGCTCCATGGGTCGCCCGTCGTTGGAGTGGTCATCGGATATATCGCGAGTGCGTGCAACAGAACAGCATCAGCGGTGTCCAACTCTGGGACGGAGTACCCGTACCGCTGGCATATACAAACGAATAATGACTCGGGGCCTCGGTGTTTCGTTTCTCATATTGCTTGGGACGGGCAGATCAAGCATCATCCGCTGCACTTGATGCGGCGCCGGCAATGGAGCATTAACCCTGCGATCCCATCTACGAAGATCGCTACAAGCAGCTCCAGTCGAGCGTGTGATTTATAGGAGGTGGCCAGACGAGCTCGTGATGATTGGTCACATTTAATGCCACCGACACGTTCCACTTGACACATACTCCGACTTGGTGGATGCTTCTTTGGTCGCTCAATACGACCACCGACCCAACCATGAAGCTCTAGCAATTTACGTAAGCGGAAGCATGGTCATGTACCAAGTACGAGCAGCAGAGGGAGTAGCTCGAAGCAGATCCGGGCGCCACGTGTGCAGTTACAACCCACGTCGCTAAAACAGTCTTGAGCGCATTCTCTGTATGGATCTCTGTGGGTCGTAGGATAAACGACCTTGGGCAGCGGTTGCGCTCTGTAGCGTTCTTATGTCGTTGGCTGCAAGCTTGGCTTCTTGTTGAAGGTTAGAAATCCCACCGGTTTCACACGAGTTTTCCACTGATTTTCCACGCACGACAGTTACATGTCCGGTTATCATATCCGTATCCGGAGATTCAGAAGAAGCATGGCCGCGTACAATGGCCTTGGGCTCTCGCGGGCCGAGGTAGACGACCGACGCAGGAAGCGCCATGAGGGTCAGCATGAGCATGGTAGATCCTTCGCCGCATCCAAGATGTCTTCCAAGCGTTCCTCGAAGACCTCATGGTACGCTTCCTCGTCACCGCGGGATCGCGCTCACATGCAGCATGCGCAGAACGACTCCTTTATGACCTTCCACACGGTACTCCCGAGGACGGCAACAATCAGCATGCCCATATGTCCTCTTCTGTAGCTCAAGCGTGCGACGAGCGCCATGACCTTTGACTGCGACGCCCTCACGCTCACCCATGGCGGCGAGAAGCGCGCGATCAAGATGGCATGTCCCGAGGCCCATGAACAGCTACCTCATGGTATCATGGTAGACGCCTGCGAGCGCTCGCAAGTACACGGGCATGTGGCTCGTGCTGCAGATCGCCCATCAGCTGCTGCTCGAGGACAAGACAGTGACCCAGCGCGAGCTTTACTACCTCCACCCTTTCTTCACGACGCAGCAAGAGGCGGACGAGTGCATCCTCGGTACCGTCTTCGGAGCGATTGGCTTGCTGTGCTCATCGGCATGTTGTAGACGTCAGTGGCCTTCTTTGCGTTCCCCGCGAATGCTTGAACATCGTCGGTGGCGTCAAGGGCTATTTCTCCGGGCGACTCTGCTATCGCGTACTACTACGTCGTGCTTCGAGTCGTCTTCACAAAGCTGCCTCTAGAGCGCCGACAAGCAATGGATCGACTGCAGCCTCGATGGCGCGTCGGGGCGTCCCATCTCGCGGGAGTTACTGCGCCTGGAAAGCGAAGACATGTTAGCGCACCGATTCCTTGCGCACCGTACGACTGTATGATGCCAATGGTAGGATCAGCGATGCGCAATATATCATTGTGGTCGAGAAGGAAGGTATCCACTTCGACTCGTCTCGTGATGGTGGGACAACCGTGCGCGGTTAGGGATCTTCAACCGGCTCGGGTCCGAACCCTGTCTTAAACAACCGCCTTGCTTTATGCTTCGTGACTTACCAGCGAAGACCTCTTTTTCAACCGCGTTCCGTGCATCCTCGTGACGGGTAAAGGGTTCCCCGACCTCGCAACGCGGTATGTGCATTCGCAATGACGTTTTTTCCATGGTGTGATCGCAGGATCTTTGTCAAGAAGCTTCGTGACACGCTCCGCGTCCCGGTTCTCGGTCTCTGCGACTGCAACCCCTTTGGCCTCTCAATCTTGGTACGATGCCGAGCTAGCTTGATGGTGCGCACTGTGAACGCATGCTGCTGTTAGCTCTCGTTCAAGTTTGGCTCGGCGCGCATGCCGCTCGACTCGGTGGCGTACGGTACATGTACTGGCATTCGACATCTCTCTGCAGCATCCAGCGTAGCCGTGGACATGCACTGGATCGGCTTGCGGCCGCTGGACACAGCGTCACTGGAGCTGCCCGACATTGTGCACACCAAGTTTTCCAAGCACGACACGCGTCGTCTGCAATCGCTGGTCGCCCACCCCTTTGTCCAGGTACTAGCGAACTAGTATATCATTTTCTCTGCCATGATATTGACCCTATCGACACATAGATGGACGCTGCGTACCGCGCCGAGGTGCAGCACTGGATGAAGCACCCTCTCAAGATTGAGCTCGAGGCCCTGCATACAAAAGGCTTTGGCTTTATCACCGAGTATCTCGAAGCCCAAGTCATGGCGCGCAACTACATCTAAGAAGCGGCGTTCATGCCTCGTGCTGCAGTGCCCGGCTGAAATCGTCTTCAATGAACGAGAGCAGCTTGGCCGTCTACGCACCACAGCATGGATGGGATTGCAAGGTCGAGTCGCCGCGCACCTCGAGGTGGATCTTTTGGCGCTTGAGAATGTCGATGAGTTGCATCTGCTTCTTGAACGCGACGAGAAGCTCGGCCTAAACCACATCATGTCATCGGCATGAAAAGAGTTTGATGTACTGACTTTCTGCTTGTCAAAGTGTTGGAGCTCCTGAATCGCTCGGTCGTGCTCGGCTCGGGGCACGGCCGTGCCACTGCGGTTCAAACGTTCTTGGTCGAGCTCCTTCTTTACAAGCTCGAGCTCTTCAAGCGTCCGCTGGAGGCGCACTTCGTTCAGTTTCGCCGCGTGGAGATGCTGGCGCTCGTTCTTGCGCGCTGTGTCTACGTGGACGCTCACCGAGGCCGACTACGCGTGAAGACATATGATGTTCAAAGCACGCATCGTGGGTATGGATATGCAGATGCCATGGACGGCGTACGTCTGTCTCGAGCATGCGGTGCTTGGCTTCCTGCGTCGACCTACGCGCTCGATGCCTCTTGTATTATTAGAGTCCATGGGTACAGGCGTACTGGAGCGCTTTGTTCTTATCCAGCAGCGTATGGAGTTGCGCCAAGTGCTTGGTCGCGCCGTTAAAGTCGCTTTGCGTGCGCTCGAGGTCCGCGGCCGTCGCATCCCGCTTGGCCGCCTACATACCGGTACGACTGTGTCGACGAGCGTCCTCCGACATGTACCGGTACATAGTATGCAGCCTACCAGCCGCATCTGGTTCTCCTGCAGCGTAGCGTACTCTTCGTGGAGCACGCGCAGCTCGGCCTTCTGGATCCGCTGCGCCTCGACGTCAATGTCGCTGCTCTTGTCGGGCGACGTATGGAAGTCGAGGCGCGACGACCGGCGACCCGACAAGCTAGGGCTGCCCTCCAAGAGCGCCTCGTTGACTCTGCTCTGGCGGCGCCCGCCCCCGTCAAACCGAGAGAGGCGGCGCGCGCTGGTGGGCGGCGTCGTCGCTACCGGGACCTCTGGGACGACCTATGTACTTCCGTCAGCAATCGCATCATCCAAGAGCAGGCTTCGCACCGGCATGGCTCTATGGGTCGGGACGCTTGGGCTACGCTGCATTCTGGCAGCGAAAGATACTTCGAACTTCGCGACACGCGTAGTTTTCGAAGCTTTGGTGCAACTCGATCAATTTGATCGTTTGATGCCAGCCATGGATGCGGGTGGGATCCTGCATCTCACAGCGTCCACCGTACAGTGTATTTTTGACAGAGAATTCGCGACAACGTTCTTCGAATACATCAATAAACGCTCCTCGACGGTGGCAGCTGACGAGGGCGAGACCGTTCCTTGCCTCGGCTCGTGCTCCTGCACATGCCTCGCATCGCGGACGAACAGGTGGTCGTCCTCTGGGACGAGGCCAATTCTACCTGGTATTACAATGCCGTCGCCGGCGCCGCTCCAAGCTGGTCCCTGCTGTCACCGTGGATCGTCCTGGCGGGTTCAGGCATGATCGATTCCAAGGTTTTATTGACCCTTGTCTATACTATGGCTTCAACCGAGGTGTGCTCGACGGCGCAGCTGCTCCCCAAACGCCTTGTCAGCGATGAGCATAATGACGTCGGCGTCAACAACCCCTTCGTCCAAGCTACTGTATGTCCATACTTTAACCAAGACGACGTCGCATCCATATCCATCACCAGCGGCTGGTCGATACCAAGAAGAGCCAATCCCAAGCGCGCATTTCCACGGCATCGACCAATCGACGCGCGATGTGGGCCATCCGGACCGTGAGTGCGGCCAGGTTCCGGCGCAATCAGCTGACGAGAACCGGATCTAGCAACGACAGGTCGGCCGTCTATGTGCATTTTGCGATCGTCGCCATGCCCGCGACCCCGCGGCTCGTGACGAGCCAATGGCTCTTCAACCGGCTCCAGACGCTCGGCGGCCTCACGCTCATCGACAGCCGCAGCGCACAGTGCTACGAGCACGCGCACGTGTGGTCCTTCCTGAGCTTGCCGCCGCCGCCGCACGCCGGCCGTGGCCTCTTTCTGGAAGACGATGGGTCCGACGGCTGGTCCGCCGTCGACATGTCGACGCTTGCGCCGGCGACCGACGCTGGCCGGCAGCGCTGGGCCAAGCGCAAGCTCACCGACGTCATTATCTACGACGCCTTTGGCGTGTACACGCCTCGGTCGTGGGCAATGACGCTGGCCAACTGGCTTCTTCAGGAGCGTCTCGTGACCTCGGTCAAGCTGCTGCAGGGCGGCATGCAGAGCTTCCAGCGTCTCTACCCCTTCATGATGGCGTCGCGGAAGGACAATGGCAGCGAGTCGCCGACGCCCGTGCGCTCGACCGTGCTCTTCTCCCCGTCGTCGCCGTCGCCGACCGCCAAGACAAAGACACACGCGCTCACGTTTCCGCACGAAATCGTCCAGGGGTCCATCTACCTCGGCAACATCTGGCAGGCGACGCATCCCGAAGTACTCCGCAAGATGGGCATCACGCACGTCGTCTCGATCGCGACGGCGCCGCTGGATGAGAAGTTCCAGCTCAAGGGCATCAAGTACCACCAGGTGCCCATGCGTAGCGTCATGGCGGCCCCGGATGCAACGGTCGCATTCGTACGCGACGCGACCGAGAAGGGCGGCAAGGTGCTCGTGCACTGTCTGCACGGCATCTCTGCGTCGGCGGCCGTCGTCGTCTACTACGTCATGCAGACGCACTCGAAACTGTCGCTCGTCACTGCCTACAACCACGTGCACCGGTGCCGCAACCTCATTTACCCCAACATCGCGTACATGCGCTGGCTCGTCGAGGCCGAAGTGGCGCGGTACGGAGCCTCGAGCGTCGAGAGTCTCTCGGAGATTGACGACCTCCAAAACGGCTTGTTACCAGACACGCCGATCGACTCGACGCGCAAGCTCAGCGTCCAACTGTCCATGCTGTTTCGCCGCCGCTGCACCGAGAAGCACGTCGCGTCGCACATGCAGCGCATCTTTGGCGAGTGAACGCGGCAACGGAACCGCTCGACTCGCCCTCGTATTTATAATGATCCAAATAAGTTGACTATTTATGTGCCACTATCTAGTTGTCCAGTGGAGTAGTCGCTTCGTACTTGGGAAAGAGAATGCCAACGTTGTCTGAGTCCCTTGCTTCGTTTAGCCCTCTGCACTGTCGACTTGTTGAATCACAAGGCGACACTCCGTCGAGACGCGGCCATCTTGATCGCACTTGAGATCTGATCCGAATCACGACCACTAACGCTCCTCGCTTGAAGCACCGGCCACGCCTCACGAGCGCATTAGGAAGTCCACCATTTCTTTGTATGCAATAACTCAGCTCAACAACAACATGACATCTAACATACATGTACATTTTGTTTCCAGCTGCTGGTAGTAATACGGGCACCGGTAGTTGAACTAGAGAACAATAATATGCTGATATATTATATCACCAATGTGCCCAGCAGTTACCGGAAACGTACGGATAGAGATGTGGTTTCCTTGCGCCACGTCATTTTTCGAAAACCAGCGATCTTGAAGAGGCATGTCGTCGCGGTCGCTCGTGGACCGAGCGGTAGCCTGCACGTGTATCGTGCATTGCACCCACAACGATATAGGCGGCGCTGGAGGCCGCCAATGCAGCGGCTACCGTACGCAGTCGCCGAGCCGCGTCGGCTGCCGATGCGGCCTTGGCGTCCGTGCGCAGCGTGAGTTCCATCACGGTGAACGAGGCAGAGAACGAAGACGACGACGACGATAACGACGTTGTGGCGCTGCCCGAAAACCCAAAGGAGCTATCAAAAGAGCCGTCGTTCTCATCCAACGCGCGGGGGTCGAGTCAGGCCAACTGGAAAGAAACGATCCAAAGCCCAAGTCCGCGGCGCCACAGCCGCGTGCTCGGCGAGCGCCCGCCAAGCTTGACGTCTTCTTTGAACCGTCCGGTCGCCGCTTCGAGCAAGTCCATGTCTGAGATTTGCGACGAGCATGTAAGCACATCGATCGCCGACTTGCAGGACGCCATCAACAAGCTTGCAGCGTTGAACCGGACCACGGTACGAAGACATGGTGCCATTCGCTTCATTCTCTCGAGCGCTCGCTGTAGGAAAGCGCGATTGGTGCTATGCTAGAGCAAATCGACAAGCTCCAAGCCGACCACAAAGATCTCAAGCGCAAAGCCGTGCAAACGACGACGGTGCTCGAGAAGCAAAAGCAATCGCAGTACTACAACGCTATAAAACGATCCAGAATCCTCTCATGCGGCGTTGCTGGGCGTAGAATGAGCCACGAAGCCAAGTACCTCGAAGCCGAAGCGGACGTACGAGCGCCTCCTACGCGCTTCCAAGCTCACGCGCGTGTAGCTCGCGTCCAAGACGTTTGCGTTGGACGACGCCAAGCGCAGCGAAGCCAAGGCAGCCCAAGCGGCCAAGGCCATCGAGGTGCGGCGTTCATGTTGCGTGCGAGTATCCAATCGGCCGGTATGTCGCTGCAGATCCGCCTCGAACGGGCGCTGCATGACTTGGAGAAAAGCAAGCGCGAGTTGCGGGATGAGCGGGCAACCAAAGGCGGTCCTGCGGTGCCCAGAATCGACCATGACAAGGTTCTTCGGGACGCCAAGCGGGCCGAGAAGCAAAAAGTACCAATCTCCGTCGCCTTCTTCAACTTGCATACGATCTCATGTTTAGGCGGAGCTCCTCGTCGCGTACAAGAAGCAAGCCAAGCTCATCGAGGTGCTCAAGCGTCAGAAGATCCACCTCGAAGTCATATCATTGTCGTCCCGACACATCGTGATCTCACGGGTGTTTAGGCGGCCAAGGACTTGGAGTTGACCGAAGCAGAGTTTGTGAAAACGGTGGATCTGGGAAATCTATAGTCGGTATCTTTGGTCTCAGTCAATATATATTCCTACGCCGCGTATGCTCAATGCGCATAATCGCGCTTGAGTATACGAGGAGGCAAGAGACGGCGCTGCACGAGGTCGAACACAGCGACCCCAAGCAGTCAGGAAGTGTCAGCCGAAACGGTACTAGTACGAGGCGCAACCTTGTGTGCCATCGCACGAAAGATGACAAAAAGGGGTGCATGTTGAAGAGCGACCGGCGTCCAACCTGCGGTTTGTATGTGGCCGCGGCGACGTTGAAGGCGCAGAGGAGGCCAATTTGTCAAAAAGAGGGCCAAAGGGCCGCCGGCAGCGGTCCGTTTGTGTCATATTGGGGCCAATATGCTCGCGTGGGGGTTTGAAGTAGGGACCTCATCGCAGTGAGTAGCCGTGGCTTGGTTCCAAGTGGCGTCTTCAGTCTTGAACATCCTCCGAGACAGAGACAGTAGCATGACGTGCGCAGATGACGACAGCTTGGAGCAGAAGCGGCCACCGCCGTCGATGGGCCAGCCAATCGAGCGGATCTCGCTGTCGCCGCTCGTCGTGCCACGTCAGGAAAGCATGTCGATCCGCGGCCTCCTCAACCCGCAAGAGCTGCCGCGCGACGACGCGCGACCACCACCGAGTACTAGGCGAGCTGAAAATGTATTCAAACAAGAAGACGGTTTGCCACGTATGCTCTCCAAGCGACCGCTCGACTTGCTCGACGACGCCGTGTGTCCCAAGCGCGGTCTCTCGTGCAATGTGCCAGCGTGCCCCAACAAGGCCGTACGCACACCCTGTATGGTACTGCAGATCAAGCAATCGCGCTACGTAGGTCAGCAAAGGTCGCTGCATCACACACGGCGGTGGCTGCCGCTGCAAGATACCTGGCTGCAAGAACGGCGCCAAGATGTACGGCCTCTGCCACCTCCATGGTGGCCGCAAGCAGTGCAAAGCGACCGGCTGCAACAAATTTGCCAAGAGCATGGGCCTCTGTTGGGCACACGGTCCTCGCCGCCAAGGGTCGCCGCCACCTCATGCATTGGCGTAGGCGGTAGCAAGACGTGTGGCATCCCACTCTGTGGCAAGGGCGCCCTCAAGGGCGGCTACTGCTGGGCCCACGGCGGAGGTACTGCGCTACCATGTTGCCTCGTGTCACACGACGGGGTAGGGAAGCGGTGCCTCGTCGATGCGTGTCAAAAGCCCGTCAAACACGGCACGTGTTGCGCCCAACACACCACACCCGGGCGGCTTAGTCCCTAGTAGTACTGTCTTATTCTCCATCCGATCGTCGCGCTCGAAGATTTGAGTTTTTTTGTTGATTTGTTTCGATTTCTTCGTATTGTTGGGGTGGATCTTCTCCAACATTGGGGCGAGGTTGAAGAAGCGGCCGCGAGATACGCACGGTAAATAGTGTCATGTGGCCCCAAAGCTGCAGAGATCGAGGCGGCTGGCGTCGGCGACGACAAACCCATCGCCAGCCCGCGCGACCGTAACGGGCCGCTGCAGCCGGTCGGCTTCGGGCAGCGTGCCCCCAAAGCTATGGAAGAAGCGGCCGTCGGGCGTGAAGAGGAGGATGGCGGCGCGGGCCGAGACGTCGCACACTAGGATATGGCCTGTATGCGCATCGACGTAGAGGCCCATGGGCACCATGCGCACGCCTTGGGCCATGTGCTCAAACACAAAGAGTGGTGCGCCGACGAGCGAAAGCACCTGTACTCGGTGGTTGCCCGTGTCGCTGACCACCATCTTGGCATCGCGGTGCGGCCCGAGGTCGACGCCATCGTACTGCGGCAAGGCGGGGACGACCGCCACGTCCCTACGCTCATTGTGTCAACACGATATGGTCGTCCTCTTGTTTAGCAGTTAGTACGTACGTGGGAAGGGCAAACTCGCCGGGCCGGCTGCCAAACGAGCCAAATGTCCCGACCGGCGCCGTCGAGGCAATGTTGAACACTGCAATGCGGTGGTTGCGCTGGTCGGCGCAGTAGACGTCTCCCTCAAAGACGCAGAGGCCGAGCGGTGCGTCGAGGCTGTTCGCGCGGTGGCCAAAGGAGCCGAGGACGTGCAGCGCCCGGCGCGTTATAGCGTCAAAGACCTGAATCCGGTGGTTGCCGCTGTCGCTGACAAGCACCCAGCGCGTCTCGGCAGTCGGCGTATAGAGGGCAACGGCCGTCGGCGATTGTAGCTCGCCGAGTTGGCACCCCGGGGCACACTCGATTTTGCTGCCATATGTCGCCGCCCCCAGAAACCCGGCGAGGGTCCACTCGCGCTTGATGGGCGTCACCGCCACGTGCTCATAGATCGCGACCCGGTGCAGGACCGAGTCGACCACGTAGGCGGTGGTCCCGTCGACGGCCGCGCCCGCCACGTGCTTGAGACCATTGGCAGGAAGCGCGGCCCACGCAAACTTGGGTCCTGCGTAGTGGTAGCTGCACACGCGGGCGTTGTCGCGGTCCACCAAAACGATCGCGTTCTGGTGGTTGCGCGCAATGTCGAGTGCGGTGGGGCACCGCAAGCTGCGCTTCTCCTCTGCGAGTTGCTGCAAGAGGCTCGAGACCGTGGTAAAGGCCATCGACGACGGGTGCAAGTACTCGGCGAGCCGGCGCCTCGCCTCGAAGGGCCCCCATGCAGTCACGGCCGTTGCAATGTGGTGCAGCCCGACATGGTCGAGGCATCGAAGCAGCGCCGTCGTGAGCTGCTTGAAAGACGTAATGTGGCGTTCGAGGCTCGTAACATCCGAGTGCTGCGAAAAGATGTATACGACGGCGCCATCGTCGCGAAGGACTTGGATCCGGTAGTTGCCATAGTCGGCGACAACGATGTCAAAATGTTCGTTGAGTCCTCTGGTTGTAGGCGGTGTGCCCCGGTTCACCGCGTTCTAGCACACCGTAGTTCAGCGTATGACTACAATGCCAGCACACAAGCCACCTTGCGCACATTGGCCAATTTGACGTCGCGAGGGTCCCAGAACTGCCCCGGGGCACGTCCTTTTGACCCGAGGTGGCCCACAAAGAGACCGCGTTTCGTAAAGATGGCAAGTCGCCCGTGGCCCGTGTCGGCCACAACAACGTGGTAGTGCGAGATGTCGACGCCACTCGGGAACGAGAGGCCGCCCGAGAGCGCTCGCGCCGTCGGTGTCTGCAGCACCAAGCCCTTGGTTTCGACGCTAAGTACTTGGATACGGTGGTGCGCGCTGTCACACACATAGAGCTCGTTGGCTAGAAAGTCCATTGCGAGGCCGCGCGGGTGGCGCAAGTCGGCGCTCGTCACGACGTGGAGGAGGTTTGGTGCCTGGAAACCGCCGCTGGATGGAAACATGGTTGCAAAGGCGTATATGTGGATGCAGTCGAGGGCGTCGTCGGCGACTACAGTGTATGAACGCACGGCGTATGTCGCGCGGCTTCGTACCGCAGAGAAGACCGCCGCGGGAGATCGCCTGGCAGAGTGGGACGACATGAGACAGTCGGTGGGCGCGCTGACGCACGTACGAGGGCGGAGGGGGCGCGGGCGCGGAGACGCTGCGACGTGAGCTTGGTCGTCTGCGCATACAGATGCACGTCGCTCGCCGTGTCCAGCACCGCGTGTTTGTTCACGTAGAGCTGCCACCCACGGGCGTACTCGTCGGGCGGGACAACCACCACCGCGACCGGGGTCGCCAGCAGCGGGATCTCGCGCGTACAGTACGCGCCAAGGAGCTCGTACTGCGCTTGGATCGTTGCGATGCGGTCGCGCTCGCCTTGGATAACGCCGGCGATGCGGGCGGCCTCGGCGGCGCGCGCGGCCCGCTGCCGCGCCTTCTCTGCTTCGGCTTGCGCCGCCTGCGCGAGCTTTTCTACAACGCACCAAGGTACCAGTGGGCACTGGCCCCAAATGAGATGGGCACCTGCTTCGATCGCGGCTCGATCGCGCTCTTCCTGGAGCCGCGCCCGTTCGAGCGCCTCGGCGGCCTCGCGCTCGAGCCGAAGCTTCTCCAATTGCTAGTCCACAGCATGATGAGCATGCGTGGATGGCGTTGGCCGTGTACGCGGAGGCGCCGCCGCTCGGCGATCGGGTTGGTCGCCATGTGCCAAGTGCCAAGTGCAATGTGAAGCTGAAACGACTACGGTCGCAACGGCCCCATGAGTCAGATTCAGAGGCAGAGATCATCGCAGCGGACGAGCGATACACACGTGGAGGCCAGCGCGGCGTGTGGACCTGGGATATGTCGTCGCATCTGGTTAGGTTGACGTTGATTTTCTTGCTACTGGTCCACTCCCTTCTTGCAACGTCTTTTGGCGCTCGCGTCGCGGTCCACGTATGCTTCAAGCTGGTCATTGAATCTCCACTTGCATCATACCATGGGTTGTTCTGAGGGAGTGGTCTGTAGAAAGGTCTTCCGCATGGCTCGTTTGGACCACCTCTTTCTGGGCTCTAAAGCGTACTTCAATGCTTCGATCACGACGATATTGTATGTGGAATTAAGATTTGAATAAAAATGCTGCATCTGGGCCCGCAGACATGTGGGTGCAACCGCTGCTGTCTTCAGATGGGTGGCACCAAGTGGTGAGACACCGCATGCACGAGCTTGTCTTCCTCCGTCCCCGCCGCGTCTGGGCGGCACACCTTGGTCTTTGTATCCGCTCGCTCCTCACCACTCTTTTGCTGTCTTCGCGCAGAACCATATGGCGCCAGCATGTTCCGCAGGTGGATCTCACTTCCGTTCTGCCGACCTTGCCAGAAATCAGCATCATGTCGACGACGCCACGCTTGTGCCGCTTTGGCGGCTGCCGCTCGTACGGCAAGATGGACGGCTACTGCCTCATTCACATCAAGGAGGCCGTGACGCCGGCGTCCGTGGCGCCCACGCCGCTTCTGACGCCGTCGCTCGCGCCGTTGCGCATTGCATCGCCACCGCCGCTCGCGTCGCCCAAGCCCTCGTCGCCGCAAGGCAGCATGCCCCTCACGCACCTGCCTCCGGTTTGCAACGGCCGGTGGCAGTGCTTCGTGCCAGGCTGCGCCATCACCGCAGCGCCCGGCCTGCCTTTCTGCACCGAGCACGACCACGCGACGTTGACTGTCGACGTCGGCAAGCCGACGTCCGGTCGCCGGAAGCGCAAGTCGCCGACGCCGACACCTCGGACGACGTCCCGCCCGCGCACGACGCACGACGCGCCGAGCTGCGACGAAGTGTACCGGCAGCAGCTCGACGTGAGCGAGCACGCGCAGATCCTCGCGACGCTCGCGCGCACGTAGACGCCCTCGTGTTATGTAATCTAAATCCTAGTTGTAGTCGTCGTCATGCCTCTTGGTTGCCTTCACCGCCCGACTTGGCTTGGTATCGACCCAAGACGAGCCCGAAGCATCGCGGCGGCAGTCACACAGGTGCATGACGCCACATGTATCGCTGACAAGCGTCATGAATTGATTACCACGCGTGATGGCGACCGCGACCGGTTGTGGCGACGGCACATGCAAGTGGCGTCGGCCAGGTGCGCTGTCGGCCACATCGAAGACATGGACATCGCAAAGCAATGCAACCACGTACTACGGCATCCATGTGCTGCTGCTGGCTTGCTGCGCTGGCTACAGCCCACTGTTGCACCCGCCGCTTCCCTCCTGCGACGCCCTTACACCGTCGCCTCTGTCCACCATCGACGACGTTTACAGGACCCATATTGCTGCGTCTATGGCGCCTGACGAACGACCAGCGAGAAGAGCTGTCCACCTGTCGCCAAGTATCCAACGGAGAAGCAATGTCAACCGACGAAACGTTGGGCTGTGCTATGGTCCACTTTGAATGTATGTAGTACCAGTCGCACGTTGTCGCCGTCTTTGCCATGACGCAGAGCGAGCCGAGTATATAGAGCACTTGCAATCCCTTTTTCTGAAGGATCTTGCTCTGGAAGAGGATACACAACGGTTGCATCCGGTTGGCCCCGGCACTGGAAGTGGAGGAACGACGAGGCGAGCGTAGAAATCGCGGGCGGTGCAGACCTTTTGACCACGAGGGCGGTCGTGATGCCCTTGTGGTAGGAGCCACCAAGCGTCGCTGCGACCTCCAGAGCAGACGCACGCCTCTAGTCTGCCTCTCTAGAGACGACGACTCTTCATACCGTGTGCTCAGTCATTCCACAATTGTATCAACCATATCTTGCGTTTGTATCAAGTGACGGGTTTGAGCGCTCGGCGACCGGTCGCCCTAATTTCCAATGTCGAACCAACAGGTAGTTAGTTGACCCTGCATGGGGGAAGGACTCGTTGCAACACCAACACAGCCCTGCAGCACCATGCAATCATCGGCTCTCTAGTCCAGTTCAGTAGTATTCTAGCAGGATGCGGTATTGTCTATCCTGCTAGACGTTGGCCACAATGCTTACCTCGATGACACAATGATATGTCGACCCAACCTTGCCATCACCGCAACGAGGACCGCAGCCCATGCGCGAGTTAGCAGATCCCAGTCTCTTCTCTTCAACCTCGCCACCAAATCCCATCAGAATACGTTTGTTTCAAAACAATGCCTCGCGATGTACCTTGTGTTGCTGTCGCTTGATGTCGATCGTCTGACCGACGACCCGCGGTGCTGTCAAGCTCCATTCCAGCAGGCAATATGCCCACACGAGGCGAGTTCATGTACAAGAGCTTCGTATAGTGAGATCTTATGCGACCTTGGCCTTGGTCGTCGGCGCGCGACCAAACACCTTGTCGAAAAAGTCCGACCACTGGCTCGACCCCTTCTCGCGCTTCTCACGCTGCGCGGCGCGGAAGGCCTTGTCCGTGCCAAAGACCCAGTCCCAGATCGTAAAGACGGACGAGTAGTTGCCGTCAAACTTTTCGTGGTGGAAGTCGTGGTGCACCGGGCCGCCCCAGAACGGAATGTACGCCGAGAGCGCAAACGGCAGCTCGTAGCCCGAGTGGTCGTCAACCGTCTCGTACAAGCGCACGGCGAGCCAGACCCAGAGCGTGAGGAGGTGGCGCGTCAGCAAAAGCGGCCCGAGAAACGTGCCAATGCCTAGGAACATGGTCTCGATCGGGTGCGCGTACTCGGCCGAAATGCCAAACGGCGCCGCGTACTCGTGGTGGACTAGTCATAAATTGATATGAGCCGTCGCCTCGTTTATAGAGGACAAGTTGTCATTACCCTTGTGGACATACTTGTAGATCTTCTTCCAGTGCAAGAACCGGTGGATCCAGTAAAAGTAGAAATCTTCGAGGAGAAAGCTCACGAGGCACTGCCACGCAATCGTCGTCCTACGCCCCATATACTGCATGAGCCTCGATAATAGAAACAGCATCAACGTACGCTTTTGGGAGCGGCATGGCGGCCGAGAAGCCGAGGAGGCGCAGGCCAAAGTCGCTGCAGAGGATCATCGGCAGCTGCACAAAGACGTGGTTGAAGAGGAGGCCCTTGAGGCAGCGCGACGTGTCGACCCAGTTGTTGGGCTTGGTCGGCTGGATCTTGTATTTCGCAAAGTACGGAATGTAGTCGAGCGCCAAGTACGGCAGCCAAAGACCAAAGTACAGCGCTTCGTGCAAAATGAAGGTAAACACCGAGACGATCACAAACTCCGAGTAGTTGTCCAGCATCGACTGCCAGTACGGCGCGAGAAAGGCCAGCGAGTTGAGCTCATGGAACGTCGCCTCGAGCGACGCCACGTTGATGCCGTGCTCGAGCAACGTCGCGTTCCAGGCCTCCATGCTCGATGTCGAAATTGCCGAATGAACTGCTGTCTTCGGTGGCCCTCGCAAAGGTAATCACGCGCGATTACCAGGGACCTCTCCGTGGCGTATACCAAGTGTCGCAGGTATCGTGCCCCGGGGCACACTTGACTTAAGGGGCGTAAGGGCGGGTCATCGTCGCATGGACAGGAGACGAACAACCATGTGCGTGTGCTGTTGCGGTCAAGCGCCAATGCGCTGCATAGACGTCGCCGGCAAAGCCACACCGCGGCTATGCACCAGTGGCTATGCACCACTACTAGAACCGTTCGAGTTTCGAGTTTCGAGCTTCTAGCATCGAAACCTTGGCCACGAGTCGTGGCCCACGACAGCGACGACGGCTGCCTGTTATTACATCGTGTCAACCGGTAAACGTCGTGATTATTGCCGGGCGTGGATCCAGCGACATCCTCCTTGCTTTGCAGCGAACCGTCGCGAAGATATATGGGCGGCGAGATCCACGTTGCTCTTTCCCCTGCGCCGACACGAGAGGCAGGCAGCGGCTTCGGACACTACCAACTACTAATACTACATACGTACGGTAGTATTCATACGCTCATAGGAAGGGGCTCCATGGGTGCATGCTCTCGGAACGCTCGCCGCACTTCCCGGCAAGAGGCGTCGCGCGCCGTTAAAGGCGCGCATAGACAGGCGGCGTGCCCCGGGGTGACATCCGGCTTGTATCCGGCGATCCGGATACGCTGCCATGTAATCAAGTGGATTAGCGGCCGTGTCATCGTCGGTCGGTGTCTACCCAGTCAGTTTGCAACTTGCTACGATGGTCCGCTGTGCGCTGAACGTGGCGGGCGGCGCTGCGGCCCTCTCGGCCTTCTGCGTCGCCGCCGTCTACGGCTCGTCAGCCGTCAACGCGACGGCGACCGGCGCTGTGCCCATGACGCTCTTGGAGACGCTCGAAGAGCTCAACTCGCTCAACTTTCTCCTGCCGTACTGGCAGTACATGCTCGACAACTACGACGAGTTCACGATCAACGCCGGCTTGACGTTCGTGCTCCACGAAATTGTCTACTTTGGCGGCTGGATCCCGTACCTGTTGCTCGACTACGTCCCGTGGGTCCAAAAGTACAAGATCCAGGACAAGCCCAACACGTGGGCCATGACCGCCAAGTGCCTCAAGCTGCTTGCGTTCAACCACGTGATTGTGCAGCTGCCGATGATGATCTCGAGCCATAGCAGCTTGACGATGCTCGGCTTTGGCATGGAGGCGCCGCTCCCGACCGCGTGGACGATCTTCTGGAAGGTCATGGTTTCGGCCGTCCTCGAAGACTTTTACAACTACTGGGCGCACCGCTTCTTGCATTGGAAGAAGATCTACAAGTACATCCACAAGCTCCACCACGAGTACGCGGCGCCGTTCGGCATCACGGCCGAGTACGCGCACCCAGCCGAGACGCTCATCCTTGGCCTTGGCACGTTTCTCGGGCCGCTTCTGCTGACGCGCCACCTCCTCACGCTCTGGGTCTGGATGGTCGTCCGCATCATGCAGTCGATCGATAGCCACTCGGGGTACGACCTGCCGTTCGCGCTCACGTCGTGGCTGCCGTTCTGGGGCGGCCCCGTGCACCACGACTACCACCACGAAAAGTTCGACTGCAACTACGCGTCGTTTTTTACGATCTGGGACTGGGTCTTTGGCACCGACGTCCAGTTCCGCGAAGCGCAGCACATCAAGTACACGACGGGCAAGAGCTCGTGGTCCGATGCGTTCTACAAGCTCGGCCTCGCCTCGTACGTCAAGAAGGACGCGGACGCCAAGAAGGCCAAGACGGCATAGATAGCTCGACTTGTGTATCTAAAAACACCATACAACATCCTGTACTCCATGCGACTCGAATATCGGACGCATCCCAGGCTGCGATCCTAGAGACCTCTTGGCGACATGCCCCACCGCACACAAGTTCCGGTCAGCTACCGCAGCGGCCTCCAGAGGTCTCATCCACACCTCGAGACGAAGAGATCGCGCATATTGAAGTCCCCATTTCCCGGTAGGATCTTATGACTGAACCAGAAGCGAGTCGAGCTGGTGGGTGGGCAGAACCGATATTGGATCATTTGCACTTGTTGGTGACATGTCCTTCGATCGTTGAGCATACTACATATATGTATAGTGCATAGAGAAGCGGCGATGCGTGCATTGCACGTTAAAGTGTCCTTCCTTAAGGTGACAGAGGATTGCGTGTTTTATCCCGTTGGATCCACCGCTTTCACACATTTACTGTATTCGGCATGTGCCTAGCATGCCGAAAATAAGGCAGATGTGTGCCTTTGGTTGCACTGAGCACGACGAGGATGAGGATTGAAGCATATATACCTACCATGCGTCCTAGGATACGAGCAGCATTAGTACCATGGTCTAGCAGTACGACTACCAGAGGAACATGGCGAGAGAAGAAGCGAAGTCGTCGGTGTGAGAGCGTTGCAGTCGAGATCCTGAGAAAGCACTTGCCCGAGCGCAAGCACCTTGAGCAAGGTTCGATCACGAAGACTTGGAGCGAGTGACGCCGTGCAAGAGAGAACGCCAGCCGCCACAGCAGCAGCGTCGACGAGGATGACGGGTCAAGCGCATACTCTCTTCTATTTGCCTGTCTATCTTGAAAATGAAAAGCTCGCGGGAAACGATCATCACTCTGGTATTTCAGCCAATCCGCGGACGATCCATTGAATCCGGATCCGGTTTGCTCGCACATTGAGAACAAGCAGCTCACCACAGTCGCCCATTTGCCAGCTCCAGCGCCAGCTCCAGCATGCAGGACGTCGACGCGGGCACCGAGCCGTACGCGGCCGCGCACCGCCTCCTCGTGGGGGGCACGAGCTTCACGCACTACGTCTGTCAGGGGCCGCTCGACCCCGTAGACGTCCCGAGCCTGCGCGTCGCCGGCTTCGACGCGGCGTTGCACCGCCACAGCGACAGCGCTCCCATCGCCTCGATGCTGCAGGGTTACTCGTCGGGCGTCGTTCCTGCCCACGATCTGCAGCTGGGCCACGGTGGGCAAATCCCGCAAGAGCGGCGGGACCGACTTCCGGCAACGATTGAAGTGGTCTTGAACACCAAGTTTTATGCGTACGATCTCGCGCCCGTGCTCTCGCACCTCGCTGTCGGCAGCGCCTCGTCGATGCCGCTTTTGACGCCGGCAGTGCGGACGATGAAGAGTTTTGGGACGCTGCTCGTCCTCTTGCCGACGTTCTCTGATGGCGGCCTCGTGACGGTCACGTACAAGACGTATTCGACGCCGCTGGTGACGAGCTCAACCAGCGCCACGTTCGCGGTCGTGCACCGCAGCGCTTCGGTGTCGATGGCGCCCGTCACGGCCGGGCACGTCGTTGTCGCTGTCTTTGATCTCGTTGGTCAGAAACCGCCGCAGATGGGGCCTCCTCTCTCGCCCGCGTTTGAGGCCGCAGTCGCGGCCTTGATCGACGTGGCGTCGGCACCTCCGGTCGCCCACAACATGATTGGCTTTGCGGTTCGGCGCGGCCTTCGTTTTGAGGGGTTCAGTCACTGTAATCCTCAGGATGCGGCGTTCCTGGCGGCGCTCCTTGAGTCCAAGGCCTTTGACGTTGCCGGTGTGCTCGTGCAGCCGCGCCTCGGCAACGCGGACGCGCCTCATGAGATTCATTCTGGGACGATGCACCCGGCGCTGGGGCTTAAACCCAACGTGATGGCGGGCTGTGTGGGCCAGGAGGTGCCGGCCTTCCTCGGCAACGTCGAGGCTGATTTGCTGCGCGACTCGGAGGCGAAGATGTGCTTTGTCTTTTGGCCAACGGCTCGTCGATCGTGCGTTCTCGTCTTCGAAGGAAGCGCCACCTTTCTCGGGGTCATCGCCGACGCGGGTCTTCGCCGTCGCTGCCTCGAGCACTTGCTTGATGATGCGGACGGCCTTGTGTCTTCGGTCATCTGCAACGAATATATGAGCGATGAGATCTGCTTCTCTGTCGGCGTTGGTCGACACGTGAACGACATTGGCGACATTGATCTCGTCAAGCGCTTCTGGGCCCTGCGCGCGACCGTGGTTTGCGAAGATCACCTTCATCTCTTTGCGCCGACGGTCCATCGCGCGCTCGAGCTCTTTGGCGTCGACGCCCTCATGCCGGCGCTCGAAGCGCTTCTCTCAAGCTGGCAAACGACGTGGGCCGGCTTCGCGAGCGGCGTCCGCCTTGTCGCGAGCCTCGTCGGCGTCTCGAACGAGGCCGTCTGCTTGCGCCTCCCGCTCTCGGCTCCGCATCTGCCGCCGTTTAATGAGCTTGCGCTGCGCCTCTACAAGGCTCTCTTCCCGACACCATCGCCTCCCAAATCGCCACCGCTAGACCTGATTGAAGATTACCCACCGAAGCAGCTCTTCCAGGCGGCGCTCGTCAACGCCGCGCGCCTCGAAGCCTACCTCTGGGGCGATCCGCTGCACGGCATGATGCTCCCAGAGCACGCCAAGCTCGTATACGCGTACCGCCCGCCGTCGTGCTTGGAAGCGCTCGTCGTCAAGGAGATTGCTTTCCACCCGTGGACGGTCTTGGCGCCGGTGGTTCTCGCGCTTGCGCCGACCCGCGTCGCATGGTGCGACGCGCTCTTGCGGGCCAATGCCACGACTTGCGAGGCTGCACCGTTCGACGTCGACGCTGTGGAATTGATTGACGAAGAAGACAAAGTCGTCAAGGTTGTCGCCAGCGATGCGGCCAACGTGCTTTGCGCCCTCGATGCCATGGACGCACTCGACTTGGCGACGCTGCAGCGTATCTTGGCCATGGCGCGCCGCACGGCGTCGAAAGCACTCTGGATGTTTTTCAACGCAGTGCCGGCGGCGGCCCCGCGCTACCTCGACCTCGTCCTCTCGCGTGTGGTCGATCCCGATGCGGCGACGCTGCGGGACATGGTTCTGAACAAAAAGAACTACACGATCGAGACGCTCGCACGCTGGTCGCCGGCGTCGCTCGACCCGCTGCATGGTTTGATGTCGGGCCGCGACAACAACCCGGACCTGCACCGCGCCTTTCTGCACCGCCGGCAGCGAGCGGCGACGCCTTTCGACCGAGAGCTCGCGCTCACGACGCTCCGCGCCCTCGAGGCCGAGGACTACGTGGTGCAAAACGAGCCGGTGGCCGTGGACGTTGACCTTGAGCCTTGCCGCCGGCACTGCGCCCGCTGCTATACATTCAGACACTTCCTCTGCTCGCCGGATGAGGTGACGTGGAACAGCTCACGGCCAGTGTGCGACCCCATCAGCCGGTTTGCCACGAACCACGCTCATGTGATCGACATGATCTACATGTACGAGCTGACCGTCGTGACGAAGCGGCTGCCCCAGCGCGAGCGCCGCGACCAAGGTGCCATCATGATGGATTGGCTCCAGCGACGCCTCGCCCAAGACAACGACGCGCACCAGTGCGCCAACACCGTCGATGGCAACAACACCGTCGATGACGCCGATGACGAGCCCGCGCCTAAGCGCGTCAAGGCGCAGTAGCGACTTCTTGTCTCTTCAGTTTGCATGCGTGTATCCTCGTAACAGTGCGTCAAACCAATCAATATATGTCTCTCCTTTTGCCTTGGACGCTTCTCGTTCTTCATGCACTGTCTGTGAGGCACACAAGTCGACATGAGCGCTCTTCTGTCTCTTTAACTCTGTGCTGTTGCAAGGCGGTCGACCGAGGGGCGACGCGTCGGCAAGTAATCTCAACGCAAGGCGTGAGCAACGCAGCAACGAAGGCAGCCACGGGCGTCGGTGAAAAGTGTACTTTTGTCGGTGATATGTACAAGCTATAAGTTATCATTTGAGCTCGGTCGTCGGCGTCGAGGTGCGTTGGCCCTTGGCGTTGACAACCATCATCCGAGTATGTAGAGGAACGGGACATGGAATATCTGTAGTATTTAACTAATGCAACTAGAGCGTGTACTCGCGGCTTTGCCGGGGCGACATGTTGTGGTGGCTGTCCACAGGATACGGCTTCATGGGCACCGGCGACTTGGTCGCTGCGGCGCGCTGGTTTTGGCCGTTGTTGGGCGTGCGCTTGGCGTCGTAGTAGTCGGGGCCGGACGAGATGGCCATGACCTCGACTTCGTCCTTGCTCGCACGCTCCTGCTGTGTCGCCAGCAACCGCTCCTCTTCCTTGCGCTTCCGGAAGAGCATGAACTGCCGCACCGAAATGGCAATGGAAAACTACTCAAGACATGAGACTACGTGCGTGACCAGGATGCGATCGTACCAGCGCTGCCACGCCACCGGCAATCGACACGAGGAGCTTCCACGTGGCTTGGCCGCTGCACTCGGGCGGGCCCGAGTAGTCGGACGTGCATTCGCACACGTTGTCTTTGTTGACAAAGCCACGCTGCAGGTTGCAAGGCGGGTCTGTGACCTTGGGCTTCGCGGTGCTGTTGCCGCCACCCGCGCTGCTGCCCGAGCCCGACGACGTCGGCTTCTTCGAGGCGCACGTCGCGCCGGCCGCACCGGCCGTGACCGTAATGGAAAGCTCGCTCGACATCTGCTGGCAGGCCGCGCCCGTCGGGTCCTTTCCGAAGCCTCGGAAAAGGATCACACCGGCGCTATCGAGGCATAAGATGTAGTTGCCCTTGGCGTCCTTCTCGACTTGAACGCCCTTGGGCTGTGGCCGTGGGTGGGCCGCAGTGGACGCCGTGCCAACGAGATCCACCTTGGTCACCTTCGTGGGCTCGGACCACGTCACGGTTTGCCACGTCCCGGCGGCCATCGTGGCTTGGAACGCAGGGCTCGAGATCGTCGCGTCGGGCGCGCAGTTAAAGCAGCAGCCGGGCTGCTTGCCGCTGCACTGGTTGAAGTCAGTGACGTCGTACGTGGCCGGGCCGAGCGTGCCTAGGCAGACGGCGCAGCACGTCTCGGCCTGCACGGCTGGCAGCGCCAGCGCGGCCAGAAGGGCGAAGACGACGCGGGCAGCTCGCATGGTGCAAGTCAGAGACTGGAAAATGCGCCGGTCTTGCGAGAATGGCCGCCGGCAGATCCGGAGAAATAATGCGACGTCATTTAATGCACCAATTCGAGTGTTTCCATACCTCGTGGTGTCATAGAATACCGACTTGACATCAAAAGGCGAATAAAAATATGCGCCCTGTTACGAATAGGTGTCTCGCCACGTGCTTTCTCGTAACACCACTGTAACCCATTTGTATAAAAATATACTAGCCTTTGTATGCGAAGGGTAAAATAATACACACGCCGGCGGTGACACACCCAGTATCCGGTGTCGGACCCACCGGCACTGGCCGTTTGTATGCTGCCGACCACATCCGGATACGCAGGAAGAAAGCTCGAATTTTTATTCTGTCTCTTCTTCTTCTTCGATCACCGCGAATAAATAAGATGGCATGCGGCGGGCGGGCGGACGGAGGTGGTGGCAGGCGGACCAAGGTGATCATCATATGACGAGGATGATGAAGGCCTTAAAGCGTGTACTCCTTGGACTCGCGCGGCTGGTAGCGCCCGTCGGTGTCACCCGTGAAACGGGCGTCGGCCTCGGGCAGAGACGGGCGAACGCGGCTGTCGTCGGACGCACGGACGCCGTCGCGCGACGCGTCCGTGTGCCGACTGCTTGTTGCGTTCGCGTTGACCGAGTCGTAGTACTCGTGCGACGCCGGCATCGCGTACATCGTATCAAAGTTCTTGGACGACTGGTCGACCGGCGCGTTGGCAAGGTCATCTTCCTCGCGCTTGCGGCGCTGGAAGAGGATGAACTGGCGCACCGAGACAACAATCGAGAAGAGCGCCGCGAGGCCGCCAGCAACCGACACGAGGATCTTCCAGAGCGCCATGCCGTCGCACGTGGGCGGCCCCGAGTAGTCGCTGAGGCACTGGCACACGTTGTCGCTGTCAATGTAGCCGCGGTTGGCGTCGCATTTGACGGTCGGAACCTTTGTGACACCACTCGAGCTGCCAGCTTGGGACGACGCGCCATCGGGTTTGGTCGTCGGCGACTTGGACGTCGGCGACGAGTCGCTGCACTTGCCCGTGCCGGCCGTGATCGTGATCGACAACTGCGCCGAGAGGGCCGTGCAGTTGCTCGGATACGTGTCGGCGAGCGGGCCCCAGCCGCGGAAGAGCGTCTCGCCGGGCGTGTCAGAACAAAAGAGGTAGTTGCCCGCAGCATCTTGCTGGACCGGCGACAGCATCATCGTGAGCTGCGGGTGCGGCGCCGACTCGGAGCCCTTGGGGACATTGACCTTGGTGACCTTGGAGACGCCCGACCATGCGACCTTTTGCCACGTGCCTTGCTGCTGCGACGACGAGAAGGCCGGCGCGGCAATCGTGAGCTGCGCATCGCAGAAGCAGCACCCGGGCGTCTTCTTGTCGCACTGGGCAAACACGGTGGGGTCGTAGCTGGAGGGCCCGAGTTTGGCGAGGCAGACGTGGCAGCACACTTGGGCGTGCACGCATGCAGCGAGTAGCAGCAACAGGAACGACCGCAGGATCATGCTTCTTGCAGCTCAATAATTTCTAAATGGCACCAACCACCGGACCAAGCCACCGGATTGTCCCAGGAGTTGACCTATTTGGTTTTTTGCAGTCGTTTTGTATTCAGTGCCCCTTCGAACATCCAAGCGCCAGACGTTCGCCGCGTTCGTCCGTTGGAAGAGAGGGAAGAGCTTGCCCTAGAACTCCACACCAAGGTGGGTTCTGACGTCGTGAGAAACAGCATTGCAGCGCTCGTCATGGATGTTTCAGAGCGCAGTAGCAGCAACGACTAATGCAACGTCGGTACAAGCAGGAGCCTTTGGTCAGCAGCGCAAGAAGCAACGAGGACCAAACACAGACAGACAGTACTCATGTCGACGCGGGATCTTCGTCGAGCTGCTCTGCCACCGAACCACCCTTTCGTCACGTCCAATACAGTGTACTACGGTCTTTGGTTCCAGTGTACCAAACCCGATCGGATCATTGCTGGTGTTGAAGGTGAGCCCATTTAAACTTGCTGTGTGTATGTCACGCCCACGGATCTTGCAATTCACTGGCCGTGACCCAGCAACGATCTGACCCGTGGCCGCGAACCAAGCCTGTTTTCAGAGAAAACGAGCGCTGGCCAGATCCATACACTGTATCCACGCCGGATGACTTTGCCCTTGAAGCTCTGAATCATGGCGAAGCGTCGTTTCGAGAGGACCGTCCTGGTGCTGATTTTGTCTCCGGCAGAAGCTTCGATAAAACGCTGGAGCGTCGTCCGGTAACCTTCCAGTCGCGCTCCATTCCGTTGCCCGATCATGTTCCTGCTAGTGGTCGTTCTCTGCGCTGCGTTGGTTGCCGGCGACATGTGCTGCGGCACGTGCCTCAATGGCGTCACCAACTTTGCCGTCGATGCGATGCAGTACCCTGCGTGCGAGGCCATTCAGTACTGCTGCTTCAACTGCGGCAAGACGCCACTGGGCGCGCCGACGATCCTGCCGACGGCCGGCGTCACGTTCGACGGCACCGCGATCGGGGCGACGACCGGCCAGCCGCTCCAGATCCAATGGGCTAGCGCAGCGACCGTCACGTATGTGTCTTTTGCACCCAACCAAGCCAAGACGGGCCTCGCGCTCTCGACGTCACCAGCCGCGACCAAGTCGGGGACCAACACCTTTAGCATCTGCCCGCAGTTCCCGGGCACGCTCTACTTTCGCGGGTTTGGCGCCGACATTTGCAACTCCGTGTCGACCGAGATCAAGGTCACGGTACGAATGCACGAGTGGGCGATAGATCGCACCTTCCGTGTCTGGGTCGTAGGTGACGGGGGCGTCTGGCGCCGTGTGCTCGACGCCATCATCCCCAGCCACAACGCCATCACCTGGCACGACGCAGTCGCCGACGTCCAGCGGCAGCACGAGTAGCACCTTGACCCCTGGACCGTCCAGCAGCACCGCGTCGCCCCGTGACAACGTGACGTGCAATGCGATTCGCGGTGTCGTCGTTGGTAGGCTTGCATATAAATATCATGCAGCCATCTCGGAGCTCGAGCCTGACAGCACCACGGGTAGACGGGCAGTGCCAATGCGTGTCGGACTGGTCGGGTCCGCCCGACTGTTCTGGCACGCCGCTGTGGAAGACGCTCATCACCATCGCTGGCGGGCTTGCGGCGGCGGTACGTACGAACGCAGCTCGTCCTCGCCATCTCTGAGTGGATAGCATTAGCTCTCGATTGTGATCTCGATCCGCCACTTTCTCATCATGCGCAAGACGCGGGCCTCCGCACGTCTCTCGACCGCCGCCGACGACAGCAAACACATTGAGATGGAGGTCATGCAAATGTCACCCAAGCGTCAGCTGTCACTGGGCGACGCCGCGTTTGACGGCCATGCGAGTCCGTCGTCGTCGCCCAAGACCAAGGAAGTGAGCCTCTAATAAGTCGAGCCCCAATCGGCTATTTATTGCGCTCCGACCAATTATTGTCGTGCGCAAATCAATTTTATTGTACAAGAATGATGTATGACCCAAACGACGCGCGCGTCATCGACACCTGCGACGCGGAGACGACGTTGCACTTGGGACCCTACCCACACGCCTTCAACCGACCGACCGTGATGGAATGTGCACTCCTCACGCATCAGGTATAAGAACTACTACGTCGACCGCAAGACGAAGCCAACTCCATCCTGGTTAAACGCGGTAGAAGAGCCGTTTGCCGGAAGCTAATATCGTCGGGCTTCAATCCCACTGGCCACGACGCGCGTTGAGTAAACGGCAGACCAGCCGGTCCGTGCTTGGTCGCTCTGACGCCTCCTTGGTCGATCGTGCTATGGCCTCGGTATCTAGCATAGCATAGTCTATAGATCTTAGGTGGCGCAGACATGCTCTCCGCTTGGCGCCGATGGCGGTCGAAATGGCGCCAACAACTCGACCGCGCGTCATCCATGATGCCGTTCACTGGTGCTCCGACGCGCACGCACTTAATCGAGTGTCATCGCATGGCACGCGCGGGATATCGTACTTAAAGGAATCCGGGCGTCGATTGGGGATGACGAGCGCACTTTGTCGGAACTGCACACGCCACGCCGAGTGCGTCATCCGTCCGATTTCTCAATTGGCTATTTCGGCCCCGCGACGCAGCACCTCGGATATGGTCTCGGACTGGCGCGCGTACGTGGCGCCTGGGAAGCGCGAGACGGTGCAGCAGCAGATCGTCTCGGTGCTCACGGCGCTCAAGCCCAACGCGCCCGCCGCCGTGCTGCAGAAGCTGCCGGGCATGGCCAAGCGCATCGAAGAGAGCTTGTTCGCGGCCGCGACGAACGAGGCCGACTTCACCAACGAGGCGACGCTCCAGACGCGCATCATGCAGATCCAGCAGTCGAACGCGAATCGCCTTCTCAAGCGGCCGAGCCCGTCCGCGGCGGCACAGGCGCGCGGGCGCCGGCTCAGCGACGAGCAGTCCAAGCTCCTCTTTGCGTACCTCCAAGCGTGGCGCAACAAGACGGTGCAGGAAGAAGGCATTGGCCCGTGGGACGTGGTCCCGACGCACATTCTGGCGCAGGTCGCGACAACGTGCCCGCGCAGCATCCTCGAGCTCGAGCAGTGCTGCCCGAGCGACCACCATTGGATCCAAAAGTACGGCTCGTCGCTCTTGCTCACGATCGTGCAGTTTGAAGCCAAGCTCCCTAAGCAGCACGCATCGTCGTCGTCGTCGATGGGACCTCCCGAGAAGCGCGCCAAGGTCGCGAGTCCTCGGAAGCCGCCGTCGCCGCGACAGCCGCGAACGCTCAAGAAGCAAATCGCCATCAAGCCGGGCATGCCGCCGCCGTCGCCGTCCATCTCGTCGCTCTTCCCAGTACCGCCGCCCTACAACGGCGGTCTTTTCCCGTCGTCGACCGACCCGTCCACGAACGGCCTCACGTCGTTTCTGCGGAAATCCTCGCCCAAGCTCACGCCGGCAATGCAGCCCATCATGCCTCGCGTCGAGGCGCCAGCGACGTCGTACCCGCCGTTGGCGCCGCCCAAGCCCACAGCAGACGCCACGGTCGCCGAAGACGAAGTGACACGACTACGCGCAATGCTCGTGCAGGTGCAGCAAGAGAACCTTCAGCTGCACGGCGAGGTCGCTTACTTGCGGCAGCAGCTGCGGCAACAGCAGGCCAACGAAGCCGCCGCCTGCCAAGCGCTGGTGGCGTGCCAAACCGCCAACGTCGCCCCCGCGCCGGCGCGGCCCAAGTCGACCGTCGCCAAGCCCTTTGCCTAGTCGTCGTCCATGTCCTGTGTGTCGTCGTCGTCGTCGGTGTCACCAGCCGGTAGCTTAATTTTATTGACCACCATACAAATCACGTGTTATTTTATTTCGAGCCATGCCGCAGTTCGCAGTCGTGGCCAAGGACGATGGCCATGAGCAGCAGCAGCATGGACCTCATCCATGGGACGACGCGCCTGGACGACCGCTTTCTCTTCCTGCGCGAGATCGGCCATGGCATCTCAGGCGTCGTGCTCCTCGCTCTGGACACGCGCAGCCAGACGCAGGTCGCGATCAAGGTCTTTGCGCCAGCGCTGCTCGTCGCGGGCGAGCTCGAGGTCGCGCTTCTCCGCGCCGTCGACGCCCGCGACCCCGACCACCACGTGCCCATTGTGTCGTTCATTCACGCCTTTGAGTTTCGCGGCTCGCTATGCATCGCGATGGAGCTGCTGGGACCAGCCATCTTCCAGCGACCCCGGGCGTCCGCAGAGGACGACGCGAGTACTATGTCGTCGATCCTGGAGCAGGTGCGTCAGCGTCCAGACAAGTGCGTCGCGCGCCGTCATATGGAGCTCGCCGCGCTTCGGACGATGGTACGTCCCGTCGACCGTGACGAGGATGGTACTGATGGCAGCGCTGCAGGTGGCGCAGACGTGCGCGGCCCTCTCCGTCCTGCACGACATGGTAGTGTACTATATACTGCATACCGACTTCTTGGTCGTCATCCTGCCATGCTAGAACATCATCCACGCCGACCTCAAGCCCGAAAACATCCTGTACCGCGACGCCTCGTCCAGATGCGATATCAAGCTCATCGACTTTGGCAATGCGATCGACAACGTCAGCGTCCAGACGATGGCGACGGACCACGGCTTTGACATCCAGACCATCCTCTACCGCGCGCCCGAGGTGGCCATGGGCGTCTCCATCTCGTGCGCGGCCGACATGTGGTCGCTCGGCTGCATCGTGCTCGAGTGCGTCCTCGGCCAGCCTCTCTTCAACGCGACCGACCGCGTCGCATTGCTCGTCCAGATGCAGCAGCTCTCGGCCACGCCACTGACGACCGTGCGTCATCCACGTCACGCCATGGAAGCCTCTCATCCAATCCCATTAGATCTTGTCGCGTGGGCTCTACACAAGTGCTTTTGAGCGCCAGGCGACATTGCCGACCCTTTCGCTCGATGCGATCGCCGACGCCTACGCGCTCGATGCGACCGACCGCCACTTGCGCAGCTTTCTCGCAAGTCTCCTCGAGACTTCGCCTACGCAGCGCATGACCGCAAAGCAGGTCCGTCGCAGCTTTCGACACAAATCGGACCGTCCTGGTAGGCGCTCCTGCACCCGTTTCTAGGACCGCTCTTTCCATTTGCCCAAGTCTTTAGCCCGCCTGCCGCCCCGCCGAGCATGCAGCGCCGTACGTGTGTCGACTCTCCGCTTGGTGCATCGTTTCCCGAGCACATCGAGATGCCGCCAACGGTCTGCGCGCAACGCGTCAAGCGCAAGGTCCACGGGCGCCTCGCGGACGCACTGGCCATGATCAACACGGCGCGTTCGAGCAAAGCTGCCAAGAAGACAACCGATCATCGCATCATCATCAAGGTCGAAGACAAAGAAGCGCCTTAGACACGCTCGAGGCGCGAGGCGATCGCGGCTCTAAAGTGCGCCATGCCAACGGTCGCCGCGTGCTCGTCGTGCCGAAGCGCATGGAAGGCGGCGGCCTTGCAGATGGCGCCAATGTCGGCGCCCGTCATGTGTGCCGACCGCAGCATTTGACTCATGTCGTTGCGCAAATCAAAGGGCGTCGACGCAAGTGCGGCGAGGTCGACGTCGGGCGATAGGGGCATGCGGCGCGTGTACGACTCGAAAATGGCCTAAAGCAATGTATCAGTGTATCAGGATGACATCATATTTCGTACGAGGCGGTCGTTTTCGTTCGGGTACCCGACCTCGAGGGCTTGGTCGATGCGGCCCGGCCGCACAAGCGCCTACGCATGAAAATGCGTCGACTGCGTCATCGAGACTCGTGGTTCAAACCGCGTCGAGTGCATCCTTGCGGTTGGTGGCCGCCATCACAATCACCTCGGACGCCTGCCTAGGACGTCATGGACCGTTGTGAAAGAGAACCGAGAGGTCGAAGATGGCACACCCGCCAACGCCGTCCATTTCGTTGAGCAGCGTGGACAAGACGCGGGCGTAGACACTGCTGCTGCTGCCGCCGCCAGCACCTACAAGTGGACGTGCATGCTACGACACGACCGATTCCGGTTGCGTACTGTCGAACGCTCGCTTCTCCGCGATCGCGTCGAGCTATCCGAAGTGGGTTCAATTCCTGCCAGATACTTTTTGCATCGATCGTACTTCGTCAAAAACAGAATGCACGGCGCCGACGCCCGTGCGCGAGCTACGCGTCGACGTCATCGTCACAGAGAGTAAGGACAAAACGTACCAAACACATCTCGGATCGACTTTTCCGTCTCCCCAAAGTACTTGGACAAGAGGTCGGACGACTAGCCAGCACCATCAATCGCATACGATATGTCTGTCGTCCAAAAACTAAAGTATCAACGTATCAACCTGGACGCGCACAAAGTTGGCGTTGCACTTGGCCGCGAGGCCGCGCACGAGCGTGGTTTTGCCACAGCCCGACGGACCGTAGAGAAGAATGCCGGAGACACTCTGCACACCGAGGGCCGCCAGCGCTTCTTTTCGCTCAAAGCGGTACGAGATGAGCTCGAGGAGGCGGTTCTTGAGCGTCGCATAGCCCGCGAAGCGGGTCCAGCTCGCCAACGCGGCGCCGGGGGCCTGCACGTTGAGGGTTTGGAGCTGCGACGGCGTCGTGACCCCAAGCGCCTAATTAGATGGTCGTCCTGTGCATCGTTTTACCAACGCGACGTACCTTGACAAAGTCTTGCCACACGACGGTCGGCGCCTCCTGGAGCTTGGACGACGCGAGCGCGTGCCGGCAGACGCGGACGAGGTCCTTGGCGACGTAGCCGCCGGTCGCGAGCGCCACGCGATGTGCTACGTCGTTCCGAGGCGCGTCCAGCGGCGCTGCGAGCAGCAGCCGATGCAGAATCGCGTGGCGGCACGCTTCGCTCGGCACGGGCAGCTCCAACTCGCGCTCGAGCCGGCCGACGCGCGTCGCCGACGCGGGAAGACCGACCGTCGATGACGCGACGACGACGACGCGGCGCGAGCCAATCGAATCGAGGACCTGGAGGAGGCTGCGGCCCATGGGCGACACCTCGTGCTCTTCAAAGCACGCATCGACATTGTCGAGGAGGAGGACACCACACTCTGTGAGCGACTGCATCTTGTGGGCCAAGAAAGCCGTTGGTGATGGAAACGCAGTCGTCACGGCCGACTCGAGCATCAACGCCATGCCCTCAAGGTACAAGACGGGGATCCCGAGGCTCCGGAGCTGCGTTCCGAGCGCTTGCAGCAAGAGCGTCTTGCCCACGCCGCGGACGCCGCGCACGAGGAGGCCGTGGGACGCAACGTACTCGGACGAGGCGAGAAGCACGAGACGAAGATGGAAGAGCAGATCGTCGACGATATCCTCGTAGCCGGCAAAGCCATTTGCTCGATGCGACCGCGCCACGGATGCGCGGTCCATACGTCGTCGAGCTGCGTGCTGCTCTTGCCGAGCGTCGACGAGGCGTCACTGGACTGTCGTACAAGATGGACGTGGGTGGCGCGGCCCACGCGTGCGAGCGGCGCCGCAGGGTTGGTCGCGGTCGCAATCGCATGCACGCGAAAGAGGTAAGGAAGGCCGAGAACCAGGACACCTACTGTGTGGCCGACGCTGACGTACTCGACTTGGCAGCCAAAGGTCGTCGAGAGGTCGAGCGTATTGTTGACGAGCACTGGAGGCAAAGCGGGCGACCCGCGTTGCAGCGGGAATGCACCCAGCGGCTCGACGACAATGGACTCGGCGACGTCTTCCAGCATATCAATGGTCTCGCACACGAGGCCATTGCCGCCGTGCGCGATGCCCAGTACGTGCAACATCCATGGCGGTAGCTGCACATCGCGCGCTTCGTCGTCGTCCTTTGCGCGGGCCGTCCAGCCGGCGCAGAGGATCGCTGCATCCGTGGCAGCGTGCGTGAGGCGCACGCAGCGGATTGGCGCTTGGCCGTCGGATGGCTCGACAAGGCGTGCCACGTTGAGCGGGAGATCGCCATGGCCATTGTAGGCAACCCGATCCATGCCAGTCGTCGAGATTGCACTTGACACTATTCTATTCCCCACCATCTATATTCGTAAATAGTGTGAGCGCGCCCCTATAAGATCCATAGTGCAATGGCCAACAACGCGCCGAACGAGGTCGAGGAGACGATCAAGGCGCTCAAGGCCAAGCCCGGCTTCTTCTCGTACATCGTCATGAACAACGACGGGATCGTCATCAAGTACGAGAACATGGAGTACAAGATGGCCGTCATGCACGCCTACCACATCCTCAACCTCTACGCCCGCTCCAAAAAGTACCTCACCAAGCTCTTTGACGCGGCCGAGAGCGACATCGAGTGCCTCCGCCTCCGCACCAAGCTCCACGAGATGCTCATCGCGCAGTACGCGAAGTTCACGCTCGTCGTCCTCCAAGTCTCCGAGACGGAAGAGGTCAAGGTCGAGACCAAGGTCGACGACACGAAGGAAAAGGAAGCCGAGGAAAAGCCAGCAGCCTAAGCCGACGCCCCAGCCACGCGTGTACATAATACTAACGACGCTTCTCGCGTCATACATTCCAGTGTGGCGATCGCTGCTTCCATGCACCATGTTCCCGCGTCGCTACTAGTACGGTCTCGAATAATCAACCAACAACAAAAGACCATCGGATCGATCGCACGCAACTCGGTATTACTTCATAATGCACGCTCTCATCACGACTGGCTGCCGCGCACGAGGTGGCACATGGGTCCGAGAGCGAGCCAGCCGAAGCTCAAATACGGCGCGTGGCCGCTGGGCCAGACATACGTGTACGCGCAGTGGTACCAGGCCGACGCCTTCTGGAGCACACGGACGTCGTCGTCGGTCGGGTCGCTAAACTCGGCCCAAAACACGTCGGTAAACTCCTTTTGGACGCGGCGGACCGCGAGGCGAAGGCGCTCGAGCGTGTCGTCGGTGGCCTTGGCGCCGCGCGTGCGACAGACCTTGGCCGAGAGGTGCCGCACGTAGCCCGAGACCAGTTCGGCTTCGGTCGCGACCTCAAACCGTGTGGCCACGTCATAGAGCGCCAACGTATAGTCGACAAACATCTCGCGCGCGTCGCTTTGATAGATTTCAAAGCCTGGCGCGAGGCAGCCGAGCATCCTGGCATGGCACGTGGGCTCGACGAGGCGCGCCGTCTTGGCGCGGCGGTACAATTGCCCGAGCACTTTCGTCGACTCGTGTACACCCCTTTGTCGGGCTTGTCCATAAAGTCGGGGTACACGTCCATCGGCGGGTACTTGGGAATCGAAGCCGGGATGCCCGACTTGGCATAGTCGACGGCCACCGCGTGCGCAGAAGCAAACGCGAGCGCCAGCGGGTCGCATGCGCCGAGCGGACTCAGGTCGCAGAGCACGACATGCGTGTTGGCAATCTGCCCGAGGTTGTCGTTCATGAGATAGTCGACGTAGAATCGGCCAATCGCCTACAGCCACGTCAGCGTACTGCATGTCACACACCATTCTCGTCGTACGTTCATGGTCGGGTCCACCGAGGTTGGCGGCGTCGCAGCCATCGCGGCTTCCATCGGCGGGTACACCGTCGTCGGCAGCAGCCGCGGATCCCAAATGCAAAAGTAGACGTCGCCGTCGAGGTCGCCACCGGCCATCGTGTCGGGGTCTGGCCGGTCACCGGCACTTGAAAACACCAGCACGTCATACAAGTGGCGCAGGGCCGGCGCATCCACCAGCGTGAGGCACTGAATGTCGCCCGGGTGCAGACACGGACACCGGCCGACCGCAACCGACGACCCAAACGCGGGATTCGGTCCGCTGCGCGTCTGGAAAAATACAGTGTGCGCGGGCAGCGACTGCGTCTCGTCCACGACGCCCACGAGGTTGACGCCGTTTGGGACCAAAATGCGCGCCTTGAGCTCCACGTTGCGCAGGAGCCGGCTGCGGAGGACACCAATCCACTCAAAGACGTACCGGTCGTCGAGCCCGACGCCGGCCGCCAAGAGCTTGGCAATCGGACTGCTCGGGTCGTGCGTCGCCACGAGCTGCGTCGCCGCCGCCGCGCTACCAAGGCACGCGTCGAGGCTGGCGAGCATGTCATCGTAGAGCGCTAGAAAGGTTGCGTCCTTCACGCCGCGCGCCGAAAGCACCGAGATGAGCTTGCGGTTCAAGTAGCAGCTCATGCGCGACGCCGTCGAGCAAATCTCGAGGGCGACGTGCGTCGACTCAAACTTGCACATGCTCGGGCGCAGCGCCATGCTCACATTCCCAGACAGCGCCGGGTTGACCGACACGACGCCCTTGTGCCCGCCGTACCGAATCTGAAAGGCCGACGGGACCGTCATCAGTCGCAGCGCGCTCGCCACCGTCGCCGCCAACGTCACCGAAATCATGCCAACGCCGTCCGAAAAGCAAAAGCCGTTGCGCTCCATGTCGGGCACCCGCAGCGTCTCAGTGATGGGCACGACCACCGCGGTCGTCGTGCCGCTAAACGCTTGGCCGAGCCGCGCACCGCGCTTGCCGACCGTCGGAATCGCCAGGAAGTCCCCCAGCGACGCGTGAATCTCGGCCACGCTCGGCGCCGACGCGTCGCCCATGGTTGGTGCATTGTAAAACCACGCGCTTTGGCTGCGCAGCTGCGCGTTCGAGTAACCCAGAAACACATAGTGGGCGCCCGCAATGTAAAAGCCATCCCTGACAATCGACGCAATCCGATGGGGCATGTCGCGCTTGACGCGGTGCACCGACCCATAGTGCTCGTCGACAAACGTCGCGCGGACAAAGCGGTCGAGGTGCGCTGCGTAGAGACGGAGGACGCGGTTGGACGCATCGAGGTCGGGCACGTCGACGACAATGCGCAGCGGCGTCACGAGCACGCGCCGGACCCGGACGACGCCCGGTGGATCCGGTCGCGGCGGCGGCGGCGGCGCCGCAATCGTCGCCAAGAGCTTGCGCCATGCCGACGACGTTCGCCGGTGACGCCAGTGCGCCAGCCGCAGAATGGCGGCGGCCGAGATCGTCGATGCTTGCAGCGACGATACAAGCGCCGAGACTTGGGCCGCGTGCGTCAACACAATCACGTGGTTGCTCAAGAGCACATGCAGAGCGTATTTGATGGCATCCGAGAGCGGCGCCAAGAGCGTGTCAAAACCGCCGCTCCAGTCCGACACGGGCAACGCCACATGTGGCGCGAGCAGGAGGCGCGGCAGCGCGGCCTCGACAAAGGCCACGTGCTCGAGCCCCATGCGCCGAAGAACGTCGAGCACATCGCTTGGCGTCGACGTCGACAACACGAGCTGGTAGCAGAGGTACATGCCGAAGGCCTTGGCCGGCGACGGATCCACGACGCGCACCCACTCGCCCGCGTCCTTCCACCCGCTATCGTCGCGTTCCCAGAGCGTCGGGAGATGCTAGAGGCGGCCAAAGGTCGATAGCATCAAGAAAAACAAGTCCTCGTCCGCGTCGCCGGATCGAAAGACAAACGGGGCGCGGCGGAGCGTGAGCCAGACGACCGTCGACCCCGCGCCGTCCGCGCCAACGCTGCAGGTCGCGACCGACGACACCTTGAACGACACGCGGTGCGCGTCAAACTCGATCGAGAACCCGTCGGCGCTTCGCCCATTGCAGAGAAAGGCCACGTCTGTCGTCGCAGAGAACCGAGGCGGGACCATCTCGGCCGTCTCGATCGATGGCACAATGTGGAAGGCTTCGGCTGCAAACCGACGCGAAAGCGAATCATGGACCAGCGCCGCCAGCGCCGGGTCCTTGCTCTCGCGCACATACAAGGGGCGCTCGTCCCAGTACGTCTTGTCGAGTTGCAGTAGCCGCTCGAGCCCTAGGCGCGACGCGACCGAGACGATCGCCGTCTTCTTGCGCGGCGTCTTAGGCTGCGGCGTGCGCACGTGGCAGCGCACAATGTCGACAACGTTCCCGCGGCGCTCGCAGTAGTCGACAATCTCGGCCGCGGTGCGCTTGCAGTCACAGTTGCGCAGCACGGCGGTAAAGACCGGGTCCGTCGCCGCCTGCGTCAGCATCGGGCTCTGTGCAATGGCCTTGGCCGTCGCTGCGTCGGCCGTCGTCGCGTCGAGGTTGACGTCCATGGCTTCGAGCACGTCGGCCAGCGGCGGCCCCATGCTCCAAAGCTTGCTCCAAAGCTTGCTCCAAACGAGAAGTGACGATCAGAAGCAGTGGCCAAATCGCTCGTCGTGACCAATCAAAACGCGTGATGTGTGAGGACGCGCTGTGATTGGCTAAAAAGGTATCCACCGACATGCCGCGAAGACAGGCCGAAGAAGGCCCATCGACGGCCTCTTCGCCCTTGCCGACACAATCGACCACATTAACGCGTTGATCTCGAGTCGAAAGACGTCAAACGTCGGCGAAAAGGCCACGTCATACAAAGGTGAGGTGCACGCTGCCGCGATGCGCGCTCGTGCACAAGCTCCACAGGGTGGGCTCTTCGATAGAGACCCGGCGAATAATCGCGTGTCGTGGGCTGGAGGCGTTTAACTCGAGTCGAAAGACATCAAACGTCATCGAGCGACGAGATAAAGCGAAGAAGACAATTACCTCGCTGCGTGGTTCATCAAATGATGAGTCGTCCCCCGTACTTGACGCAGTGGACGAGGTCATGCGACTTGAAAGACGTCATTGCGTACAAGCAACAAAGGTAGGAGGTACACGTCTCTGCAAGCCCGCGATGGTGGAGAGCCATCGTGAGCGTGAGCGAAATGGAATGGCTGTTGTTGTCAAGGTTGTTGGTTCGGTGTAGATATTGCTGTGAAGAACAGGAGGCTGTGTCGGTCAAAGGGGCAAATGAGCTGGTTCATGGCCTGGCGTCGGTGCTGATGCATCGTAGACTCGATGATGGCTACGAGTGCTTGGGCATCTCTCTCGGCGCAAAGATACCGACCTCCACACGGCCTTGCGAGAGAACCTGCCGCCAGCGAGGCAATGACTCCGCCCCACACCAATCTGTACCTGCGGTGCCTACTGGCGATCGGTCCATACCAATATCTGCTCGCTCAAGAGTGGGCGTTCAGCTAGTGCGCGCGTCTGCTCGATTGAATCTACCTGCGCTTCTTGGCGACGATCGACACCTTGCATGCGAACCCCATCGTCAGCCTCGAGGTCGACCATTTCAACGACTGCACTCGTCGACGTGCTGGCACCATGGACGGAGCTCGGGCTTTCTCGCGCGGGCGAGACAGCCAGGGTCACGCTCTCGTGTCGATGACTTGAGCCAGAGAAACCGATGCGCTTTTCTTGCAACCGGTGCCCCCGACATGTTGCCACGTCTGCATCCCACTGGTGTCGCCATCGACCGGCTTGCTTCGTTTCCATGTACCGATACCTTCTTCCTAGGCCGTGGAGAGGCCCATGGACTCCGGCGAGACGCTCTGGCAATCGAGGATTCGGAAGGGTCGCACACGACGTTCAAATTACAATAATCATCGGTGTTGAGTATAAAAATCCGACAGGTTTACTTGGACATCATCATCTTGACGAACTCTTCGTAGTTGATCTGGCCATCGCCGTCGATATCGGCTTCGCGGATCATCTCGTCGACTTCCTCGTCCGTGAGCTTCTCGCCGAGGTTGGTCATGATGTGGCGGAGTTCGGCCGCCGAGATGAACCCGTTGCCGTCCTTGTCAAAGACCTTGAAGGCCTCGAGGATCTCCTCCTCCGAGTCCGTGTCCTTCATCTTGCGAGCCATCATCGTGAGGAACTCGGGGAAGTCGATCGTGCCGTTGCCGTCAGCGTCGACCTCGTTGATCATGTCCTGGAGTTCGGCCTCCGTGGGGTTCTGGCCGAGCGAGCGCATGACCGTGCCGAGCTCCTTCGTCGTGATGGTCCCATCGCCGTCCTTGTCAAAGAGCGAGAATGCTTCCTTGAATTCCGCGATCTGTTCTTCGGTAAGCTGGTCGGCCATGGTAGTGGGTCTTGAGAGGTAAAATCCAAACTGACACTTCTCGAGGTGGCGACGCGGTATCGAATGCTACAGGTCTCGCCACTGACTGCCTCTATAAATACATACCACGTGGGCGTCGCTTGGATTTGTACGACCTTTGTACTTGCTTTTCGTATGTGGTTGGTACGACCCGCGAAAAAAGTGTACGACCTCCCCGTGAATTGTACGACCGGCGGCTACTGAATTGTACGATTTGCACGACCTCTACGCAGTTTCTCGAAAAGGCCAGCGGGTACACGCAATGCGGTGGCGCCACGACAGCGTGAGTACCAAGCACGTCATAGCGTGTAATAGCATTAGTTAGTCGACAGGGGCGAACTAACTAACGTGCGTGGCGCAACGCAGGAGAGGTCCAATTGTATTAGGCAGGAAGGGCGCATCGAACAGGCTTCTCGATCTGGGCGACACGCTGTGACGTGTAACGTTTCCCGACAACGTCGCGACGCCAGCCTCCAGGCGCCCACCAGTGCTGTCACCAGTGGTAGCTCACCGAGCCCAGCACGATGCAGTGGTCCCTGAGTTCCATAGCTCGGACGCAATCGAGCATTCTACGAGTCGCCGTCGCTGGCAACGTGGCAGCTGCGCCGAGGGCGGTGGGCGAAGGAAGCATACCATTGCAAGGACACGCATCCGTCTATTTCATGCATGCCGCTGCATGGCCAAGTACAAACTGCATGAAGTACTACCCTGCGATCGGCGGCGATTGGCCAAACACATCGCCATCGGAAGGCCTCGGAAGCGGCCACTCTGCACCCACCTGATGCGTATCGGATGGCGCCGTCAAGTGTCCGTTCCGATGGACCGACAGCTCGGACGATGGCCTCTCGTCGAGCCACTTCAAGCGCGCACCTCGTCGTGGGCCTCGACGCTAGCTCGTGCAGCGACGGCGCTCTAGCTTCTGGCGGCCAATGGTCCATCGTACGACCTCATCTGCATGGCAGCGTCGACGTAAACGCCGACATCGCGCGTCCTGATTTCGGCCGATGACGAGCGCCACAAGGTCGCGATCGGCAAGGAATGCACCCTTTCGGAGGTGTGTGGACGTGCAAATTACATTTCCCACGTTGAAGTTGAGTGCTTCCCCATACAAAAACGTTAACCAGCTGGGAAAAACCACGTCGTTCGGCTTTGATCGAGGTTGCCTTTGGCTGGAAAAGATACTAGTTTGTCGGAATCTGGTCAAGCTCAGAACCTTGGCTGTCTGGTTTCGCTTAGTTTCCAAGTCGCCTCGACAACGCCAATGCTCCTTCGTGCCCTCCGCCACCGCGCCCTCGCGCCGCGCACCCTACCGCCCCGCGCTCTGGTCCGCCCGTCGCCCAGTCGAGTGGCATGGCGTGCGCTCACCACGTTCTCGGGCCCGCGCAGCCCCCCGATGCTCGAGTGCACCATCGGCGAGATGCTCGAGGCCGTCGCCCGCGAGCACCCGGACCAAACGGCCTTGGTTGCGGTCGAAGAAGACATTCGCTGGACGTACCACGAGGTCAACGCCAAGGTAGCAACCAAGCGCTGGTGCGCGCATGAACATGGCGTAGGTCGATGCGATGGCGCACGCGCTGCGCTGGATGGGCCTCGAGAAGGGCGACCGCTTTGGCGCGTGGCTGCCCAACACGGGCGACTACTACCTCGGTACGTCCTGCCTCTTGTCAATTGAAGCGAATATAGCACTCGCTTAGTGCAAATGGCCTGCGCCAAGATTGGCGCCGTGCTCGTCAACGTCAACCCTGCGTACCGCGCCCACGAGTTTGAGTTTGCAATGAACCTCGTGCAGTGCAAGGTACATGCACTGTTGAGAGGTCCTGTAGCTGTACTACCGATTGACGACGTACTAGGCCATTCTGATCACGCCAACCGTGCATGGCACCGACTACATCCAAGTGCTCGACTCGCTCTTGCCCGAATTGCTCTCGGAAGCCTCGCCGATGCTGCATACCGAACACGTCCAGCCGCTCTCGCTGCAGGCGCTGCCGCACCTCAAGTACATCTTGCACGACGCACGCGACAAGACGTTTCCCGGTATGGTCGCGCTCCACGACTTGATCGAGCACGCAGGCACGCGGGCCGCGCCGCCGACGCCCGAGATTTCACCGGACGACGTCATCAACATCCAGTTCACGTCCGGGACGACGGGCACGCCAAAGGGCGCGGCGCTAACGCACCGCAACTTGCTCAACAACGGGTACTTTGCCGGCCAGCGCTGCGGGTACTCGACAAAAGATCGCGTGTGCATTCCCGTGCCGCTCTACCACTGCTTTGGCGTCGTGCTCGGCAACCTCGCGTGCCTTGCCCATGCCAGTACGACTTTTCTTCTTCTTCATCGCGAGAGCAAAGTGGACTCCTGTCTCGACTAGGCACCGCGGTGTACCCGTCCAAGCAGTTTAACGAAGTCGCGGCGCTCAACGCGGTCGAGATGGAGGGCTGCACGTCGCTTTACGGTGTGCCGACCATGTTCATTCGCATGCTCAACTCGCCGACGTTCCATCTGGAGCGCGTCAAAACGCTTCGAACGGGCATCATGGCCGGCGCTCCGTGCCCGATCGAGATCATGCAAGAGGTGCTCACGTTCGCACCAGAAATGACCATTGGCTACGGCATGACCGAGGTACTACATTGTCGAGCAACCTGCCCACGGCATCTCAGAACTCATATCTCGTTGGGTGTAGACGAGTCCGCTGAGCTTTCAAACCCGCGGCGACGATGCCCTCGACGACCGCGTCGCAACGGTCGGCGCACTCTTGCCGTTTGTGGACGCCAAGGTCGTCGACGTCGAAGACGCGTCCAAAGAGCTCGGCCCGAACCAAGCTGGCGAGCTCATGGTCAAGGGCTACCATATCATGCAAGGTACGTCGAGGCTCTGCTTGATCGATACTGCATGCGATCGGTAGGCTACTGGGATCAGCCAAAAGAGACGGCCAAGTCCATTGAAGACGGCTGGATGCACACCGGCGACATTGTGGCCATGGACGAGCGCGGGTGCGTACCTACCCCTCGGTGTATTTCCCCAACCCTAAAGCGAGGGCGATAGGTACTGCCGCATTGTCGGTCGGTCCAAGGACGTCATCATTCGAGGTACATTGATGAGACGTTGCTTGAACGTGGAGGTAATATGATGATGCTATTGCAGGTGGCGAAAACATCTACCCGCGCGAGATTGAAGAAGTGCTGTTTGCCCACCCGAGCGTCGCAAACGCGAGCGTGATTGGCGTGCCCGACAAGGTCTACGGCGAGCAAGTGTGCGCGTGGGTGCATTTGCAAGACGAGTCGACGACATCGCTCGACGAGATGGAAGCGGCGCTGCGCGCGCACCTCGCGGCCGAACTCGCGCACTTTAAAGTGCCCAAGTACTTTCTCTTCAAGTCGGAGTTTCCGACCACGATCACGGGCAAGATTCAAAAGTTTATGAGTACGTCCCTCGGTCCTTTCTCGGACATGGTTGTTCATCGTTGCGACTGTAGTGCGCGACGTGACGATCGCCGAGCTCGGCCTGCCCACGACCGTCTAAGCCCGCTCGTCGTCTTGCATTTCGGTGTCGTTGAATGCATCATCTTTGAGTATTGGTTATGCGAAAAAATACAGTTGCTGGTCGGGCCGGCCGCGGGCACAGGGTTCGAGCACAGGCGGCGCAAAGCGGCCGCTTCCGTTGTTGTGCACGGTCACGCACAGCCCGTTGGACGCAATCCAGTCGCTCCGAAGCGCGTGCGGTGCCATGTGCCACTGCTGCGCCGTCGTCTTGGCGCAGCAAGACGTCAGTGCGATCGAAGGCGATGGCGGACCTGGCACGAACGTGAGGCAGCGACCGTCGGTGGCGCGCTGCATCATGGTCATGGGGCCGCCGTCCCGCGACGCGTAGACGCGCCAGCGCTCGGCCGAGTGGGCCAGCGCGACAACGTGGTTTCCGTCGACGGCAAGGCGAAAGGTCCAGTCGCGCACGCTGTTGCCGACGCTATACTCCCCCGAAATCCATCCTGCCGAGACAGCACCAAGCAGCAAGAGACCGAGGAGCAGCAGCAGCTGGAGGAGACCGACCATGACGTCTGACCACACGCGCCGCGGCCGCGCGATCTGATTACTACTCGGAAACCAGGTGCAATGGATCGAATCAGATCACGCACGAAGCGCCGTCGCTGCCGACTCGAACAGGGACGCCTTTGCCGCACCCAATCACGCCGACAAGCCACGACGCGAGTGATCGTTGGCGCCCGATCGCCCTCGAAGTTGCCGTCGCGGTCGGTCCATCGTGACCATTCAGGCCAGCGCCATGGCAACGGCTGCCACGAGGCGCTGCCACGTCATGGAGCCCAGCGCAAGGCACTGGGCGCACGCGAAGATGTGATGATGGTAGCGCAGTGCAAGGACATGACGCGATCTTACACTGCGCCGGTCCAGGCGCACGCAGCGAGCTCAATCGGCGTCCAATGCCGCAGCTTACGGCGGCGCGTCGACGACCTGCGTTGGGTGATTAAGTCCAGTGGCCGAAAAGCCAGTACATCTCTCCGTTATGCGGATGGTTGGGCGCGTTAAAAACACGCCACTTTGCACCACAAGATCGCATTTTCCCTGTCAAAATTTGACAGTCGGCGTTCGACGACCGCGTCCATCATCGTGCGAAGCGATGCGTCTTCGTCATGGCCAACTGGTGTGGCGCACGACAACGAACTCGCGCCATCGTCGCTTCCATTCGATTCTCCGATCTGATGGACCATAAGTTTCTGTCAACGCGGCTGGTCCGGGTGCTGTCTCGCCCGTGTTGCGGCGCGTTGAAGCTGTCTCGTTCGCCGGTAGGAAATACGTACATACTACACGAGCTCGTGGACGGCGACTTCTTGCAGCAGCAGTGATCACTGTTGCGCAGGTAAGTGTTGCCTGTCCAAGAATATGCAAGTCGCGCTGGGTGCGTGTCTGGGAGGCGCGGCAGAGCACCGGTTGCGTGTTTTTATCCTCCGCAACGCATCCGGAGACTGTCTGCTCATTTGGTCATTTTTCGACGAACTAGCAGCCATGCCGACGCCCAGTCCCCCCGCGCTCCGTGTGGGCCTCGAGATTGAAAACATTGGCGAGCGCGTGGCCGCCTCCAAGAAGCGTCTGAGCTGGCGCTTCGTCTTCGACGGCTGCGAGGAGGTGCACACGGTCACGCTCGAGCACTCGCGCGTGACGGCCAAGAAGCGCGTCAAGCTCGACGGCAAGCGCATCGGCGCGTCCGAGAGCTACGCCGGCGGCTGGACCTTTGACTTTTCCGTGCCCAGCCGGCCAAGCGTCCCGTTCCAGATTGTCATCAAGGACATCAACCAGCTGAGCTTTGTCGAGCGAGCAAAGGCGAAAGCGAATCTGACAGCCGACAACCTCTACGTGCTCTTGATTGACCGCTGGGAGTGGGACTCGCTGCCCGAGCGCGAGCTCAAATACGAGCGCTTTGTGAGCTCCAAGTGGAGCTCCAAGTCGTATGCGCGGCGCGTGCATTATGCGATCGATTGCAACGAACACAAGGACGTGCGCGTCGCGTGGACGTTTACGTTTGGCCAAGACGGCCCGGTGCACCAGCTGCTCATGGAAGACTGCGCCGACGGCAGCAAGAGCCTCGTGCTGGACCGCACGTCCATCCGCCACGAAGAGGCGCCCAACGGGCCGCCGCCCACGCGTGGCAGCAACTGGCACGCGACCCACGAGATGGGCGAGGACAAGCACGAGCTCGCGATCAGCGTGTCCAAGAGCCAGGGCGAAATCACGTACGTGCTGCACATCAACGGCTCCAAGTGGGAAGAGATGGCCGAGACCGAATATGTCCTCGAGCCCGGCTTCTATCCCGTCTTCTCCAAGTCGACGGGCCGTGTCTACTACCGCAATGACACGACCAAGCAAACGACGTGGACAAAGCCCTCGGTGCTGCGGAGCGACGTGAGCAAGCTGGCATCGCCCGAAGCGCGCGACTCGATTGCGGGCTGGTCGCTTTCGCCGCGCTCGAGTGCGCACAGCGGCGGCATGATGGACCTCATGAGCTTCAACGAGGATGGCACGGGCACGGCGACGTCATCTCGGACGTCGTCGCTGACGTCGGCGGCCGACCTGCACGTCAAGAAGCCCGAGATCATCGACCTGTTGAGTTAGTTAGCTTTCGCACTACACCTTGTATATATTTATGTCATTTCGCCGCCTGTCTATGACGTGGCATCGCCTCGTACCTGCATTTCGTAACGGTCTTGTAACGGACGGAGCATGGCGGCGTTCCCAGACGGCATCTACGCAGAGATCCGCGCCGCAGTCGCCAGCGCCATTGCCAAGAGCTTCGTGCCTCGACCCATCGCAGCGCCGACCCGCGCGTCTCTCTCCGAGTACGTCCCGTCCGGCTACGATCCATGGCCGTACATTGAATGCGTCGAGCTCCTCGCCGAGACTCTACCGATCAACGACGCCAACAGCAGCACGGTGGATGGGCTCGACCCGCCGCTGGTCGATTGTAACGCAGACGAGGCAATGCCTCGCGCAGGAGCCATGACGATGCGAGATCGACGAGGCAGCATCTTCGTCGACACCGATGCGCCACGACTGACTTTGCGCCGTGTGGCATCCGTGCCAGCGAGTGGCTCGCCAAATGTGCACCAGCGATCGCAGTCGCTTGGCAGTATGTCACAGTGTCGCCCGAAAGTCGTCAAAAGCCTTCAGACCCAAGCCAGCACCAAGAAGTACCACACGATGCAGCACTATCGGTCGGTGGATGATGGTGTCGAGGACCTGCTTCGAGCCCTCGTGCTCGAGCACACCGCGTGATCGTCGTCCACGACGTACCGAATAACTTTTCTCGACGTGGCGCGAGCTGCTGTGCGTAGTAGATGTTGTTGGCACCAATCTAATGCCTTCAGAATTGCCACCGCTTGTGGGAAAGCAAAGATATGTACAACACCGACGAGGTTGGAGCCCCGCACCTCCTGCATAGGATGACGCAGGAATCCAGTATCCGAACCAAAATTGGGCGACTAATGACATCCGCATCGTGGCACCCATGCGTGGCACCAAGGACGAAGCCCACGTGCAATCTGCTTCATACTACATCGGCTATTTGACGTGGTCATATGCAGCGCACATGATTGAGATCTAGCGATATGACGATATATGTATGGTGATGGCGTCTCCAACGCGGCAGGGTGTCACAAACAAACGAACGGCCAAGGCACAGGCACAGGCGCGTGTTGGGTTCAGTTAGCGCACCAAGTTGGCGATGAGGTCCTTAAGGGGCTCTTGCTCGCGGGCGTCGACGAGGTCGAACTCGATGACAAAGAGGATAAAGTGCTTGAAGCACGAGTTCAAGTGCGCTTCGGCGCCGAGCGACACGATCTTGTCAAAGTGCGAGTAGTAGACATGGGCGTAGACGCGGAAGAGCCGGCGAAAGATGTTTTTGATCGCAGCCTGAAAGTTGCGCGGGTACGGAGCGCCTACGCCACGCTACCTTAGCCGCGGCGAGTGGCGATCCGCCATCTACCTTCGGTCGCGGGAAAGACGGTTGGATCGCCAAGCTGGTCCTCGACCCAGCTCATGAGCATGTCAATGTACTCGGGCGCGGGCAGTTTGGCCGGCGTCTTGTAGTTCTTCGTGTCCTTCCAGAGGTACTCAAACCTAGTACGTGCGGCTATGAATCCATCGCACGAACGCAGTGTACTTGGGCCCGGCGCTCATGATCGGGCACGACGCCTTGCTGCAGAACTCGAGGATCGTGCCATAGACGATGCTGATCTCGTTGAAAAAGTCCACCGCTACATCGAGGCCATGAGCGCCGTCGATGAGGACGCGGCGATCGACTGACTGTTGACGGCGAGCCACTCGTTGAGGTCTTCGTGCTCGGGCAGCCGAACGGCCGAGCGCATGTCGCCGCTACAAAGCTCATGATGGCCTCGGTCGAGGCAGGATGTCGGTGTACCCGCCGAGCGTCGCCTTGGCATGCTTGTGCAGATCGTAGCGCTTCGTGCCCTTGCTGTGGCTCTTCTTGGGCCGGAACGTCTTGTGGCGCTGGAAGATGTTCATGGCGACGGAGGAGGTTGGAGGAAATTCGGCTCTGCGGGGCGTTGCGATCTTGCCGTTTCGAGGCTAATCGCACGCCACTTTCCATAATTCCTGTCCGGGGTAGGTCAGTCGTTTTCTAGTCGAACTCGAGTTGTCGTGCTACAGTGTAGTACATGTACGGGGCTACATATACATGAACGAATATATGCTGTCGGCACGGATCCAAGGACAACGGGACAGTGTAGCATGGTGTTCCACACGGCTGGTCGACGCTGGAAAGTCCGCCCGGTGGCAACTCCACTTTCACCCATTGCAAATGAGATTGGTGCTTGCATTCAAGACAGCAGTGCGTCGATGAGAGCTGCGAGCGTGAGACGGCAGTCGTCCTTAATGCACTCGTTCTCTACGTCGTCGACGAGTCTCGCGAGAATTCCGCCGACTTCGTTGAGCGCACACCCATCGGCAGATGACGGGTGCACCGAGGGGGCTGCATCGCGCATTCTCTGAGAAGGCGGTGCGTCATCGTTGGTGCAGGCGGCTGGATCGACTTCACAGTTTGCACGCAAGAGACTTGACGGCAGCAACGCATGCGCCGACTCGAACGCTTGGGGCACTGCTGCAGCCTCTGTCGCCAGCGCTGGCGCTTCAATGTCTTGCGCACGAGTAGCGTCCTCGAGCACTTCATCTGCTACGTCTGGGTTGTCATCCGTCTCTTGGAAGGGAAGGCGTTCCGGCTCCTTGGTCAAGGTGGTGTCGACGATTGCAGCACCATGTGGAGACGATTTGGGAGACTCGACCATGCACTTGGACGTGTCTTGCGCCATGCTTCCTAGCGCCGGTGCGTTCTCATCGGCGACGGGCGATAGGTGTTCTGTCTCGGAGATGACTGCAGCATCTGTCGCTTGTGCTTGGACCCTTGACATCTCTGCGTCGTCGTCTGGACTGGTGTTGTTGATGGCGACTCCTTGCTCTTGTAGCGAGGACTCGATCGTTGCCTCGGGCGTTGGTTTCTTGGGGCTCGAAGCGCGCTCCGTCGCATCCGTGATGAGCTGCGTCACGAGCGCCACTGCAACACCGTGTTTGATGGCTGCTGTGCTCAAGTTTGCGCCGGGTGATGCGATGACCTTATTCTGTTGGCCTTCAAGCACGGTATCGGTGGCGGTCGATCGTTGACTCTGAAGCAGCACTGCTTTTCTCGGGCTTGGAACGTGCGCGGCCACATCGGCAATGACGTGGTTTACGAGGGCGACGGCAACGCCGTGCACTGGATCAATACCCCTTGGTTGAGGGTGGTCATGACTTTCAAGCCGCGTTTCGGTCGCGGCGACACCGGGTCGCGTTCGCTTCTTGACGGGGCTGGACGCCAGTGCGGCGGCATCAGCGAGGACATGCGTCACAAGTGCGACCGCGACGCCATGTCTCGTCTCTGACGCGCCATACGACTCGCTTTCAAGAGGTGGACACGCAGCATCACCGTCAGTCGCCTCGGTGGCAAAGGCCTCGTCCCCCAGATCTGAAAACTCGTGGGGCGATACGACGACGTCGGGATATGCCCGCAAGTCTGAACCACTGTGGTGGAGGCTTTCGTTTCTGGACTCGGTCCGAGCCGAGATTGGCGGCTCTGGAATGATGGTTGCCGTAGCCGGCGACGCAAGGTTCGCACACGGGGCCGCCTGCTCATCCACGGACGGTTCCTTTAGCACTTGGGCGCGTGCAATGTCCTTGTCGTTGGTCCGGCTTCTCGCCTCCTGCCGAAGCAGCAAGCTCCGAAAATCTTCGTTCATCATCTGCGGGAGCTCGAGACAGAGCACATCGCCGTGGACGGCCTCTTCGGTCTGAAGCTGCCGTTCAAAGGCCCGCAGCCGCCACTCGTAGCGCGCGGCCAGTGTGCGGATCGCATCACAATTCGCGCGATGATTTGCGTCGATGACGGACGCACGCGTGCGCCAGACCCGCGCCCGACAGGCGTGCGAACGGTCAATGCGCGAGCCGACGATGGGACCGACGGGCTGGTCGTCGATGCAAACCGCGGTGCGGGCGAGGAGACGTGCGACGTCAGGTTGTGTCCACCACGCCTTGCCGTTGTTGAGAGCGACGACAAACAATGTACCGCCCGGGCGAAGACAGGCGAGGACTTGCGTGAGCACGGCGCACTGCGTCGATACAGCGAGCAGTTCGAAAAAGGCTTTAGCGACGACAGCGTCGATCGATGCTGGTGCGATTTGTAGCTGCATCGCGTCCATACATTCAACGTGCAAGAATGGCGCAAGCGATGCCTCCACACACGGCAGCAGTTTGGCGTCGTTGTCGATGGCGGTGACGTTGTGGTAGCCGTGCAGCACCATATCACGGGCGAGCTGGGACCGCCGGCCCCGAGGTCCACAACTGCGTCGCTCGGTCGAACGTACACGTCAAGAAGATGCTGGATATCGGCGTAGGAGAGGTACCACTCGTCGTGGGACTTGCACGGAAAGGCTGCTGCGATGTGAGGAGCGACGTAAGGCATGCCGTCAGGTGTTACTCGGGAGGACTTCGCTGCGGGTAGCTACAAGACCCGCCGTCGGATACGATGCTTGCTAGTACGTGCTTGCAGCTTGCAGTACTACCTCGAAGCGGTGCAGATGCGTCAGGCAGAGGACGGGCCGCAATTCCTCACCGTCGGCATCATCATCACTTGTGTCTATGTGACGTGCTGGCTTGGGCGGGGATGCGTGCGCTGCATGTTGGCTGGCTTCGACAATCTGGTGCGCGTAGAGGACGCGAGGGACGGTCAAGACGGATGACCAACCGTCGTTGACGGCGCCGAAGCGGTGCAAAACGGGTCGTACATACTCGCTCTCGGCGCTAGAGATCGAACCCACGGCCGACGAGCATAGTGAGGCAACGTCGTTCTCCGAGTCGCCGATCGAGATAGAGCTCACGTTCGAGTCGTCGTCGTCGTTGGATGACAATGACGGCAAGGACGACGTCGATGCGAGTGGCGATATCGGACCACTCCGAGTGGCTTCGTCGTCAGACGACGATATGCTGCTAGTGTTTGATTTCCAGCCCCATGGATGCTTGGCGTCCGAGATGTCGCCCAAGAACAACCGAGGAATCGCGGCGACCGACACACCAGCCATTCACAAGTGGATCTTCTTGTACGAGTAAAACGGTTCTAAACGTTTCTTTGCTCCGAGTCCGTCCTGCTACACCCCTAGACTCCAAAGACTATATTGATGCTTTCTGCACAATTTGTTGTAAATTGAACAAGAGCGACGTAGTCGAGTTACAAGAGGTAGTGGGTCGCGTCGGGCTGCTTCTCGTGCGTCGTTAGCGCACTCATATCCGCAAACAAGTCGCCCAACCGATGCTGCACCTACACCACACGCATCGTCCACACACCCATTCACTCCTTTGCAACGCTACCTCTGCCAGCTCCTCGGATGTGGACTGCACTCGGTTCTCTTCGAGGTTTCGGAACTGCACAACGAGAGTCTCCGTGACGACCGTGAGAGCTCGGTAGGCCGCCTCGAGCTACGCACGGGCTGAGATAGGTGTCACGTTGGCGGAGCACCTACCTCTTGCTTGGCGAGCGTCACCTCGAGGAGCTTGTTGCGTTGCTTGGCGTTGGCGTACTAGTGTCAATCACGCATTAGCATCACGAGAGTGATGACGGATCACATCACGTACGCGGCGAGACGCACGGTGAAAGTCGAGCTCAAGCTGAGCACGGTGGTGCAGAGGCTCCTTCTACCGGTGCACGCAAAAAATGAGGCAACGAGCGCGATGAGAAAATGCGTCGTCGTACAAAGGTGGAGGTCATTGCGGCGACCTTCTCTTGGAGGTGCAGGACCGCCGACCCTTCCATGGCCGTCTACAGGTCGACGACATGAGAACCATTTTTGTTGTCCCCGGACAGGATAATGTAATACGCGAAATGCAATCGTTGCGCTCTGCACAGCCTCGAGACGCTGGTTTGTGCTGCGGTCGCCGTCCTGTTTGATCGCTGCGTCGTCCTTGCCAATCGACGCCAGCGCGTCGCCAAACTCTGATGGAAAGATATTGTGCAGCATGAGCTATCTTTCAAGAAACCACGATCGACGACTCACCCATGGTCTTGTTGACAAGCGTGGAGAACTGTGCCTCGAGCGTGCGCATGTGGCTGAGGTGTTCGTCAAAGCGCTTCTTGCGCAGCGTAAACTCGGCGTCATTGTGGACGCGGTCCATTGATGGAGCGAAGCGGTTGAAGATGACCTTTTGGCGCCAGCGGCGCACGCCATCCCGCCCAGAGGACCACAGCGAGCGGCTAACGCACGGAGGCACGACCTCGGCGGCAGAGGCAAGAGCGGACGAGTCAAGAGCAGACATATCAAATCAGGTTGTGCTTGTTAAAATGGTCTCGAGTCGCACACATGTGTAAAATCTTTGCTTCCAACCCTTTGTACGAGCTCTGACTCTGTAGCCCTTTACGCGAAACTGCCAGCTTCAACGTCGTTACGAGCGCTCGCGAAGCGCCACGTCACCGAAGGCATCCGTCGCGAGCGACTTGCCGCTATTGCAGTGGTACGCGGGCGTAGAAAAAGTAAAATTGTTATCGAGTACTGTGAGCGTGCACTCTTCTTTACGTCGCTCCATCCTGCGTCCAAGACGGCAAAACGGCTCCCGCGCGGTATTATCCGGATTAATCCGGATAAAGAGCGTTGCCACAAACAAAACCATGCTCAGCGCGTTCCTCGAGGACATTCGGTCGCAGCACGCATGGCGCGACGCCCAAGACGAGCTCTTCCGCGACGAGTCCAAGCTTCGTGATGCGTCAGATACGAAGGACGTCGCTGCATATCGGGCGGCCAACCTCAAGCGGCGTATGGACCAGTCCGCAGCGTGGCGCCAGCTGTGGCACGACCAGGGCCCAACGCAGCACCCTCCATCGCCTCCTACTCCATCGATATAAGGCGATCGAATGCATTGGCTGCATTACGTATCGTGTGCGGCCGACAGCACGATGCTATCCGTGCTGCTTTCATGACCGCTAGCTGCTTCGACGACCCGGCTGCAATCCAGGCATGCGTTTCTGGCCATGCAGGAACGATTCCATGGCGGGCAGCCTCGTCTCGTGACGGTCGTCCGATTGCTATCGGGTTGGCAATACATGTCCATCATGCGCAACCGGGATCATCTTGACTCGTTGACTTCATATATGCTCACGAGGCCATTTGCGAATCATTCCTTCTGGAAACGAGTCTCAAACACGAATTTCCCAATGGTGTTGTGGAGAGCATAGGAGATCGACTAGTAGAGGCAATGAATCGCTAGCTGTGTGATGTAGTCACGGCGAGTAGCACCCAAGAAGGCGGCTCAAATCGTAGCAACCATCAGCCGTGTAGTCAGCCGTGTGCGATGTCGAATATCCGGTTATACACACAATTAACCGGATTTTTCGCGCAAAGATCGCAGTTCCAAATTGACCAGCTCGGGCCCACGACGATGCAGAGCGACGCAGCAGTAGACGACGTCCGCGCCAACGCGCTCGCGCAGATCGACATGCTGCATGAGGGTATCCTGGCGTACCACAAGCAGTTCCTCCAGGGCCAGGCGGCAAAGGAGGTCGAGGATGGGCGCCCCAAGGATGCATCCAAGCAAGACGACGCGAACCAAGAGAATGTCAAGCTCGTCCACGAGCTCCGCGAGAGCTTGCAGCAAGCGCTTCGGCGGAAGGAGGAGCTCACGACCGAGATGGCGGCCAGTCGACTGCAGTAGCCCGCTCGCTCCATGCTACGACTTAATGACTCGAACGACGCCACGTAGAGAGGTGCAGTGGAAGCGACAAATCGACCAGCTCAAGCACCACCAAACTATGTTGACGTCGCAGCTCCAGCACCAGCAAGCGACCCACGATGCCCAGCGCAAGCAGCTCCAGATGAAGGACACGCTCCTCACCAACTACCGGTCGTCGATCCGTACGCTCGAGAACAAGGTATATCCATGTTGCCATTTCATATCGAGTAGTACGCTGGATCATCATCGTCGGTAGCTCATCTCCAACGCCAAGCGCTGAGCAAGTCGACGATGACTGCCACCACGATGCGAAACGGAAGAAAAGATAAAGCATCGAGAGTCCTGGACGCATGGATACACGACGGTCTGCTTGCATTTAGCCCCCCGAGATCGGAGGGATAAGAGCTACTTCGTCGTCGTCGTGGAGGCTGCGGACGTCGTCGCCGAGGACGTACTCGAGGTTCACGGCGAGCGTAATGTCTTGGATGTACTCGGCAGCATGGGGGTACTTGGAGGCGAGGGTCGCGCGGAAGGTCGCGGTCGTCGGCGCGTCGCCAAGGTCGAGATGTTCCTCCCGCAGTCCGAGGAGCTCACGGGCGGCCGCAAAGTACAGCGCCTTGACGCGGACCATGGTTGCAAACTTCGGAACTGTCCGAATTTGGCGCCTTATTTCAGGTCGGCACCAACCATCCAATCAGGCCTGTCCATTTGAAGAGGCGCGATCTACGCCGACTCCTGACCATGGCGGCCAGCCCGCCAAAGAAGCCATGGCGCTTCTTCTTTGTCCTTGTGTTTCCCAATAGCATCAAGATGACCCCTGAAGAGGTAGAAATCTTGCATGCATCTATGATACTGATGTCGCGAGTAGCTCAAGAGCATGGTGACGCGCACGCAGGCCATGGAGGCCAAGGAGCTGGCGTTCCTAAAAGGCATCGCCGCCCAGCACCCCCGCAACAACCTGCCGCCGATCGTGTCGCCGTTCGTAGGCGTCTTCCAAACATTGCTGCGTCGCACCACCGGTCTCTCGCTTCTCTGCCTTTGTGGCGTCGCCGCTGGCCTCGCCTATCTGCACACAGCGTCGGCGTTCAGCATTTATATTCCGCGCTGGCTTTTGCTCGTGCTCTTGCTGCTGCTAATCGTATTGGGCATCACGCCGTTCCTTGGCTACAAAGGCGCGGCGTCGGCCAACTGGTCGTACTTGACTTTGTTTGAGCGGGCGCTCGCCGGGTTCCTCGTAGGCCTCTGCCTCGGCATCTATGCCCTCGAGCTCTTCCATCACGATATGGAAAACGCGCTCATGACGTACTCGAACGAGACGCACGCGTACACAGTCTATCGACCGAGTCTCTTCTTGAACGACTCGGACGCGACGCCGCCACTCAACATCACGTCGTTTGTCCAAGCCGAGTTTGGCAAGGTCCTCCTCGAGTTTCTCCAAGGCCAGTTTGAAACCATGTTTCCGCAAAACAGCAACAGCAACACAACTTCCGGTAGTCATGCTATGAGTCTACCGACCATCCTCGCGCCGACCAATGCGACCACTGACGACCACGCGTTTGCAATCACCGACCCGCTTCCATGGCTCTCGTACCAAGCCAATGCTCTGCTAAATCCGCCGCCTGTCACCGAGACGCCCGAGTGGATGAAGACGTGGGTGCACGACGTGTGCTTGCCAGCGTTGCCCGTAAACGCCAGCTACTTGGACGGGAACGTTGTCGTGCCCATGGACCCGACGTTTGCGTCGTGCTTACGCCCGATTCTGAGCATGCTTGTGGACGCCACCTATGTGCTTCAAGTCGCGCTTCTCTCACTAAGTGCTCTCTTACTACTCGAATGGACGGCGCTGCTTCTACTCAAGTGGCTTGATCCGACATGTCCCACGACTGCGATTGCCACCGCGACCAAGAAGGTGGCGGCATCGTCCGGGTCGGTTGTTCACCTTCTTCACGTGCTCTTGATTCTCTTTGGCCTTTGTGCACTCGGGGTCTCGGCAGCCCTTCTCTACACCGTGGCCCTCGATGTGTCCTCTATGCACGGCCGCCCTATTGACACGTCCCATATCATTGTGTGGTCGTTAACCGGCGCGTTTCTTGTCTACAGCATGAGTGTGACGGTCGCGGGTCTTCTCGGTTGCTCGCCCCGCTTTCGCCGCGCTCAGACACGTGCGCTTCTTCTGACGTTCTTGCTGCAATCGGTCTCGATTGCCGTGCTTTACGTCGTGCATACAGACACGAAAACGGTACTTATTTCGACCGCAAGCCCTGCTGATGCACATGTTACACTAGATCATTCGTCAAGATTTGCACGACGACGGACGATGGCATCAAGTGTACGTCCATGCGCTGCTGCAGTACATCCTCGACGGGTTCCAGCGCTCGCACTCAACGGTGCTCCTCGACTTTCTCGAGAACGAGTGCCAGCTCTCAATGACGACGATCGACGACATGAGCGACACGTGCAAGCTGACGGTCGCCACGATGCTCAACGAGTATGTGCACGGTTTCCTGTGCGTTTTCATCGGGCTCTGGGGCATTGAACTCGCGCTCTTTTTCAAAAATGTCTATGTCCTCTACCTTCGAGCGTGGGGGCGCCGTCTCCTCGGCAAAAAACCCGGCGAGAAGCGCGCTCGCAAGCTGAAGCCGCACGCGACAAGCCATGTGTCCGAGTCTCTCAAAGAAGCTTCGTTGCCCTTTGCATCGGCGCTGACCTTGTACCTCCATTCGGTACCGGCGGGAGGCAATGCCAACGCCGCCAAGCACGCGTTTACGTCCGAGTGGCTGTCGAGGACAGGCGCCAGCAGCGTGCACGACTCGGAGATGGTATTGACCAGTGAGTTCGAGTCCATTGTGCGCGTTCTCGTCCTTGAACGCCTTGTTACCGTGTGTGGTCTCGAGGTAATTGCGTCCCTGAAGCCGGCAGACATCCGATTCATTTGCATGTAGGTCAGCGTGTCCATCTCCAAGGATGGCAAGAAAATGTACTTAAAGCTCTCGGCGTCGCGTCGGTTAGTTGCCATGGAAGCTGAGCGGCGCAAGTACAAGCTGCCGTTCCAAGACGCGGTGGACCCGGGCCCGACGGTACTGCCTCAAAATGCGATGCGTTTATCACAAGGACACGTAGTTCTGGACGCCGCGTGAAGTCGCTACCGACCGCCGCGTCTACGATCCGCAGACAGCAAAACAAAAGCTGTGCTCGCTCTACGGTCGCAACCTGCTCTTGGCGACCGAGAATCAGTTTTTTGCCCACGAGTCGCTGGCACAGATTGCGCGCCGTATCAACGTGCACCAGCGGGCGGCCGACTTGGCCGACGACCCGCCACTGCCGCCAGGACAAACAAAGACGAAGAAAAAAATTGTCAAAAAGCCCGCACGCGTGCCGTACATGTACCCGACGTATGGCGCGTACTACAAGAAGCCGAGTCTCCAGTACCTCTACAAGCGTCATCCCAACCAGCTCGACTTGCCGACGGTCGAGACGTCGCCGTCAGTGTTTCAAACCACCGACATTCTACGGCTCGTCGACCGCATCGTGCAAGACGAGATCGATACGACGGCCATGGTCGACGCCGGTGTCCTCGAGGCATATTCGTGTCTGCACGCAGCGAGTCGCTTTGAATGGGTACCTTGGTTTTCGTATTCGGGTCGGATGCGATACGACGGGTGTGGTAGACCAATCTCGAGAGTCTCAAGACGCAGTGGCTCACGTACTGGCGGCCGCGGCAGCTCCCGGGCGAGCCAGATCCTGACACGGCGTACTTTCGCAACTTTTTCTACCGGATTTACCCGTTCCGCCAACCGCTCACGGCCGTGCGCGAGTACTATGGCGAGCAGATCGCCTTGTATTTTCTCTGGCTCGGCTTTTACGCCCAGTGCCTCCTCCTGCCCGTTGTTTTTTCCCTTGTGTACATTATTGTATGGCACAAGGGCGACTACCACGGGTATGCGACGTACGTTGCAACGACAACGAATGGCACCTCGCACATCGAGTGCACGCTCGACGCCACGTACCTCGGGCTGTGCATCTTGCTCTGGGCGTTCGGTTACGCCAAGCTCTGGCAGCGCAAGCAGCATTTAACGACAGTGGCGTGGGGCATGGATGGCTACGTCGAAGAGCAGCAAGTGCGCCCAGCGTTCTACGGCATTTCAGAGCAGCGCAACCCCATCACCAACGAAATCGAGCGCTTCTTTCCAACCCACCGTCGCGTACGCCGTCGACATGAGGATAGCACGCGGTGGTTGATACGATGTCATAGGTGCAACTGCAAGCGGTGTCGTTGGCCGTGATCGCCGCCGTCCTCTGGGGCTACTACCTGGTCATGGTGTCCCTCTACAGCCTCCAGCCGACCTTTGTGCGCGTTGCGGGGCCCTTCTACGGCACGACGCTCGTGTCGATATGCCAAGTCGGCGTCGTCAATCTGTGCGCCAAACACACGTCGCGGGTGCGCGCCCGAATCCTCGCTCGTCGTATCTTGACGCATAAATGCGTGTAGATGGCGTACTGGCTCACGGAGAAGGAGAATTACATGACGCAGTCCGAGTACGAAGCCAATGTTGTCCTCAAGAGTACGCTGCATGCATCGACGTCGAAAGCGGCTCATTTCTGTCTAGTCTTTTTGATGCAAGGCAGCATCTTCTACTCGGCGCTGCTGTTTACGGCCTTTCTCAAGCACCAAACCCTCGGGTGCTACGACGTGTCGACCATGGTCTTTGGCTCACCATCAACCACAAGCGCACTCGACTATGGTCCAACAAGCAACTGCCTCCCCGAGGTCGAGAACCTCTTGTTGTGCCTCTTTCTCTATCGCATGGGAAAGAACGCGCTGCAAATTGCGCTGCCGCTGCTAAGGTACCTTCGGAGCCTCGGCACCAAGGTCGACGACGAGGGCATTGACGACGTCGAGGCCGAGCTCGCGCTCGCGCCGCTGGAAAATCTGTACGAAGACTATGCCGAGATCGTGGTTCAGTTCGGTCTCTTGACGCTCTTTATCTTTGTCGCGCCGATCGCACCGATCTTGGCGTTTCTAGAGAGCGCGATTCAGCTGCGCTTGGATGCGTTCCACCTCTGCTGCACGATGCGACGGCCGCTGCCGATGGAGGCCGAAGACATCGGCACGTGGTTCACGTACATCATGCTACTCTCACGGCTCTGTATCCTGACGAACCTCGGGTTTCTCTTCTTTGCCGCGTCCAACTTTGCCGACTTTGCGCCCCACGAACGCATGACGATGTACCTTTTATGTGTCGCGCTCGGCCTCGTGCTCTTCGAGTGCGCGTGGTTGGCGGTGCCCGGCGAGCCGGCGCTCAAGCAAGAGCTGTTGGCGCGCCACGACTTTGTTCGTCAAAAGTACTTTTTTGCGCCGTCGGCCGCGTCAAATGCGTTAACACCCGAGAAACCATTGACGACGACGTCCGAGCTTATGGCGTCGGTCCAGGCGTACAGCGCCGACACGCTGCATGCGCTCCACGCGCGCGCCGAACTTCTCGACAAGTTCAACCACCTCTTTGCACCAATATCGACGACGACGACGACGGTGCCTTCCTCGCCGCCACTGGGGACGGCGTCGGCGGACGATTTGCGCGATACCAATTCGCTACAGCGCACGTCCTCCGTGGCGTTGGCACCGCTAGACCTCTCCGGCATTGACGCGATCCGCGAAGCTGTTCGACGAAGCGAAGAGTCCTTCTTGGATGACGATGCACCTGGTAGGGACTGAAGCCGACGAATAGGATGGTCATGATGCTGTAGACTGGTACTTTGCGCCGACAAGACGCGCGCCACCGCCTTGGAGCCGCCGCGAGTCGTCTCTCCAGCGGCATCGGTCCAACGCCCTCTCCTTTATGGACGAAGAAGCCAACGAAGAGGCCAGCGCATGCGACGACAACGAGGACGACGACCCTTATGTGTTTGAGGACGACGACGACGACCTCGTGGATCTCATGTAAAGTGCGCGCAATAAAGATAGGCCACCTTGGGGCGCATCCGAAGCACACGCGGTATGTATCGTGACGTAACGCGAAATGCTCCAATCGAAAGCCCTTGTCCCGTTGAGTCAGACCCTAAAATTTGAAATCAATCGGGCAAGGAGTTTTCGTGAAACGCCCGGAAAACCGCCAAATGCAACTTTTTGGCGCGAAAAAATGATAGGCCACTTGAAGCTTTTTCGGCATTTTCGTGCCTATCGTTGCAGCTGCGCACTTCAAATTTCGCCACGGTCTAGGCAGCCACCCTCTTGGCCTCTGGAGATCCTCTGCAGTACCTTTGTCGACCAACCTTGCCCGATACTCGATGGGCCGTGGCACGAGACTGACCGAAGTCGAGCGAGCCCAAATTCTCGCGTTTGACACCGCCGGGTGGGATCCAGAAGCCATTGATAGAGAGGTCGGTCGCTCCCGAACGGTCGCCCGCAATTTCCTCGCCAAGGGTGAAGGCTACGGTACGGCAAAGTCACCCCGACGGCCACCCGAGATGACACCAACCCTGCTTCGAGCCTTC